CCCAGCCCCTGTCCCCACTGTGCTTGCCCAAAGGAAGGTCAAGGTATTCAGGGGTCCTAAGCGGTGTGGAAACTTCATGGGGGGTGGGGGGAGCATCAGATCGTTCAAGAATCATTCGGACAAAGCCCATGCTCGCTAATTATTTGATTTGAGGCGTGTGTGCTCGAACTGGCTGGTGGAGTCCCCTGGGTCCACACCTGCAATGTGGTCTGGGGTCCCCTGGTCTGGTTTTGGGCTCCTAAGGCAGTCCCTTGTACAACCTCAGGTGGTTCCTCTCAGCACAGATGAGCCTGTACCATGAAATCTCGGGAAAGGGGGAATGGCCCCACGGGTAGGACCACAGCAAAACATGTCAAGGGACTCCGTTAATTCCCTCCTCACCACTGCCCCACAAAAGGTCTTGCACATCATTTCATTTTCTAGGTTTTGCACAGAGCGGTGATGAAGGCTGATGAAAAAAGAACTGAGGCAGTGACATGAACCCTGCGGGAAATTATTGCTTATTCCAGGCCTCCCCTCACCCAAGTGGGCCAGACATTTCACTTCCTGATCTATAAAGAAACTTCTAGAACGCTTCTATTTCTGGACAGTGTGGGGAGTCCAGCTCTCCTCTGATTTAAGACCTGGGTAAGTACTTAGTGCTCCAGCCGAGGCGGAGTCTGGCGGCCTGGGGTAGCAGAAGAAGAGAGTGTCCCCCTTGTCCTCTGCTGGTCTGAGCCATTCTCAGACAAACCCAACTATTAAATCCAGTTATTTTAAGGAAAGGTCTTAGCATCTGTCTGGTATTTTAAGCCTGTCTCTCTGAGCCATTGTTATTGGCTCAGGACTAGCTCAGTAGATACTTTTACCTTTGTCTGTTACTCACGTATCTGACTTAAAAAAAAATGGTAGACGAAGCCTTTGGGAGGAAGACACATTCTTCAAGTCTTGGGCTTCGCTCTCTTTACTTTCCTCTGGAGCAAAGGAAGTGTTTTATTTTAATCTATTACAGAACCATTTCTTGCTGACTAAAATAAGAAAACAGCTGTAGGCAGTCCTGACCACGGCCCCAGCCTCGGGGCAGCCCTCGCTACCTCGTGGTGGGGCCAACCCTTTGACAGAGGCTTTAACTGAGCCGTAGATCGAGCTTAGTACCTTCATTTCACACAGGAAAGAACTGGGGGACACAGACTGGGTCATGGGTCATGAGGACATGCACAGGCCCCAGGCAAAAATCTCATCTCAGAGAAAGGAGAACACTTGCCCAAGGTCACCCCACATGGCGTGGCATGGCAGCCAGCGGACTGCCTCTCCTCACCCCAGCCCCTGGCCCATTTCACTCTTTCTCCCTTCTATCTAAAACACTGATCTAAATATATAAGCACCATGCAGTTCTCTCTGTTACCACTTTGCTTAAACAGAACATAAGCATGGGCTTCGTCCCAAGGTTAAAAGGAAAATAGCAAATACCTCCAAAATTTTCTTAGTCATTTTCTGTTACAGAGACAAGAAAATATTTCAGGAGTTAATTCTGAGAAGCATGGATAGAGCTAGCTAATTAGGAGTGTCAAATATGTTGACTAAAAGCCTAATTGGATTTCTGTCTATTTGCTATCCAATGTTCAAATATACCTAAAATGAATTTATTAGTCATCTTGATTAAGAATATAAATCAAAGTATGGGGCGCCTGGGTGGCTCAGTGGGTTAAAGCCTCTGCCTTCGGCTCAGGTCATGATCCCAGGGTCCTGGGATCGAGCCCCACATTGGGCTCTCTGCTCAGTGGGGAGCCTGCTTCCTCCTCTCTCTGCCTGCCTCTGTGTCTACTTGTGATTTCTGTCTGTCAAATAAATAAAATCTTTAAAAAAAAAAAGAATATAAATCAAAGTAATGTGACTCATACTTAAGGTAGTACTATTAAGCAGCAGTCTATAGGCTGACATTTTGTCATCCTAAAATCTGCACATTACCTCCTTCCTGAATTCCTTCCACGAGTACTGGTTGATAGCTGATAATGACCCAGCAACGCTAGGACCTAGAACGAGGCAAACCGACATTCTTAATTGACTTGTTAGTATTCCATTAGTCAAGTGTGTTTGTGGAAAAACAGTGAAAAGAGAAATAAAAAAGAGTTCAAATTATCCACCTTTGTAAGAGATGAAATCTAGAAAAGAAAGTCTATGAGAACATAATATCCTCTGAAATAAATATGGCCAAACCCACCTATAAAAAGTTTCATAGTTATTGAAGGACTCCTAGAACGTTCAGATCCAACTCGCCCCTCCCCTCCCCTCCCCATGTACACATAAAACAAGGATAGCACATACAATTATATCTAACCCATTGCCCTGGGAGCCAGAAAATGGCCATATTCCCTGCTTAAAAAAAAAAAAAAACTTTTGAAAAAAATTAACCCCCCACATATGCTTGAGGAAGTCCCTAAGGCACTTAGGTTTCAGCTTTTCCAAGTATCGTGTGGTTTAAAAAAAAAAAAAAAAAAACGCAGACTAATGAAAACTGTAATAGATCTTACCCCAAAAAATTCAAGGTTTCAACCGAGGGGGGCTATCGGAACATGGCAACAAGTCTTCACTATATTTACGCGTCAGGTTTAACAACTGTTTGGGCACAGACACAGACACTCACCCACACTCACACACTGTCACACACGCTGTCACAACTGAGAACAGACTACAGGGTTGATCCAGTCATCTCATCTTCCCTGCAAAACTCCTACTCAGGCTGCGGAGTCTGGTCTGCTTCAGTCTGAGTGTCTCACAGACGCGCCCTGTCTGCTGGGTTAACGGAGCCGTCCTTCCAGAATAAGACATCTGAACTTAGGAAGTCAAATAATGGAAATGACCTTGGAATGCGTATGAGGTTATGTCAGAAAGGCTCCATAAGCTCCTCTCTAGTAAGTACAATCCTTTGTGGCCCAGTCTCCATGTCTGCCAGGGAAACAGAGTTCTGCTGGGTCTGTTATTTCACTTGTAACATGAATTGTAACATTCTAGAACTTGTCCTTAAAAATGCAAGTTTCCATAATGAACAAGAAGATAAAGAAGCCAGCCACCCCTCTTTTGCTGCAGTGACAGATGTCACACAACTAGTCTGAAGGATCTATGTGGGGACTTTTACACGGAGAACTTTTACGGAGAGTATCAGTCTTGCCTCTGGTGTAAATTGAGATATACGCAGGTATCCATAACGGCCACCAATTTGTTTTTTACTGTTTTTGTGTATCTGTCCACGGAAGTATAATCTTAGCAAATAGGTCAACGGTTTTAGAAATCATGCTCTGTGGGGAAAAAAAGAAAACCCCCGAAAGCAATGCCGATTAGTCATCTTAATTGACAGTTTGGTAAGGAGGAACAAGACTGCAGCTGCTGCCTTGCGTGTAATCCTGAACTCCACACGCCGTAGTGACAAAGCACTTGACCATCTCCCGCGCGCGTGATGGAAAACGAAGCCCCTAACTCTGCTATTGTTATTATTAGTTATTATTGAACAAATAAACTGAAATTTTCCATTTTATTTAAAGCAACAGAGTCAATGCTGAGTATGAAGCAAATGCTGGCTGTGCCATTATACACCACATATCGTCCCTCCTCATCAGACACTCAGTTCCATGTGACTGGTGCTGACAGTTACATGAAATCCACAAAGAATACTGAATTCACTGAGCCCATATTGTCCAGTCTCTCAAATCTACCCAAGTTTTAACTACTCACAAAATGAGTAGTTCAATTCCATTTCTTGTCCTTAAATGAAAAATGCCAAGAATCACTAAAAATAGCCCAGAAGAGGCCATATGAAAGGAAAAGGGGAAACAAAATGTCCTGGACAAGTCTCCAGCTGAGTAGCTGTCCCCTGAATAATTTATAGTTGATGTTGGTGTGCTTCTCGTTCATTACTTAAAAATGAACTGTCTTACTCTTTACCTGTAGAATAAAAGCTTCAGGAAAGTATTTAAAACTTTTTTCACAAACACTGGTATCTCATTAACCTATGTTTTATTTTGAGTAAATTCATTATTCATTATTTCACATTATAAAAAGTAACCACACACGCATATGCATTCACAAATTAGATCATCTTTATCATACATCAATATATTTTAAAAAACAAATATTTTCTAATATCAATATAGTTATATGCTGATTGCATTTTGAAATAGAGAAGCTGACAATAGCTTCATACAGTATATCTCAAGAACAGACATTTTAAAATTAAGAATTGTATATGTTCCACAGGCAAATTTGGATGGAAATATTAGCATTAGTACAAATAAATGCTGTTGACATAGCTTAAGCATGATAGCTTGGAATAACAGCTGATTCAAACTAGATTCATCATTTTAAATTAAGTAAGGACAAATACAATCTAAAATGTAAACAAAGTATTTATAAAATAAATTCTTCTAGGAAATGAAATCATCAATCTATTATTTTTAAGGTAGTTGTAGCTAAAAGTTATCAGAAATCTTGGTAGAATTTTCATTGCCAAATTGAAATTTCAGAATGTCCAGTTACAACGTTGTCACCACAATCGTAGGACTGATAGAATTGCGGACAGCTGTTCGTCTCCTTTGCAGTGTGACTTTTCAATTGGGCTTGGAGATGTGCGAGAAGATGCAATGTCTTTCTTACTCCCCAGGCCCTTTCAAGTGATTAGCGAAAGCAATTTCAGTTGATTTGGACTTTCATGTAATTTTTGAGTGCTAAAACTCTAGAACAGTTAAATCAATGGTTTCCTGCACCGGTGAATGCCGACTGGTCTCTTCTGCAGTAGGGCTAAAAGCATATTAACTAAAGTTGTTTTTCATTGCACTTCACTATGACATTAGAATTCTGTAACCACATTATTACTCAAGAAATACATAGTATACCTCCTAGGGAATCTAATTTCAAATACGGAAAGTTTATCAACATTAGCTGCCATTATGTGTTCTCTTTCATTCATTAACCAAAAAAAAAAATAAGTAAAAATAAAAAAGAAAGAAAGAAAAGAAAAAAGCCCATTGCTTTAGCTTTTGTCCATCAATCACATTATCTCCAGTTGTCTTTGTTTTGCTTCCTTCATCAAGCAGATGATTTAAGGATTGGATTTTCTCGATTTTCTTTGTCAGGAAAGAAAAGAGGGAGGGGGAGAAGGAGGGAGAAGGAGGGAAAGAGAGAGAGAGAAGAGAAAAAGAAAAAACAAACCATGAAAAATTTTATCTGTTTAATGCTCACAAATTAAATAAGAAATAAAATCTACTTTAAATAAACGGAATATATAAGGATTCTGATTAAGTGAAAAAGAAATCACACACTAATGATGACTTGGAACTCTTTAATCACCAAACCCTACATACATCTAACATAGCATTCACTTCAATTCACATGACTTTTCCCACTTTTTTGTGTGTAATGGCAAGAGAAATGAACACAGGCCCAAATATATCAATAGGGCCGTGATGCCTTCCTGTACCTCCTTTAAGACACTGGTACTTCCGAATACCAGAAGGCTCATCTCTAGGACACTAAGAAGCTGGAGAATGTGTTGTGTGCAATTTTTTGGAGAAGCAACATTGAAGTAATACTTCCTGAAATCACTTCATATGCTTATTTTAAGGAAAACGGAGAGATTTTCATTTGGATATGGCACGTCACCGAATCTTGCCTAATACTTGACAGAAACTAGACCAACATAGGAGTCAATCAAGCTTTTCCAGTCACGCGGCTGTGTGCTTTCAGGAGCAAGTCCAGACTAGAACCACAGCATATGGAACCGGGTTGTGGACTCGACAGCCAGCGTCCTGCTAAAAAGAAGCAGCTATAATACCAACATTTCTTCTCCTTCAGAATATTCAGAAAAGAAAAAAAAAACAAATGATGTGATTTTTTTAGAGTGTTTCTAGATTCATTTTTTTAAACTCTCAGTTATATGTAATTGATTATATAATTCTATGGATATAATTATATGTTATATAAAAGATATATCCTGAGCCAGAGAAAACTGAGTCTATAAAAAAGAAAAATGTGCTCAGCAAAGAAAGAACAGATGAAGATAGTAATTTGAAATACAGGAGTATTTGTCTAAATACTAGGTTTTAGCCATCTCTACTTTAAAATGTTCCTATGACATTTAGAAAAATAAGAGAAAGAACTACATTACCGTGTTATTAAATATGTTCTTCGATAGAAGAATTCGTGTTATTAAATATGTTCTTCGATAGAAGAATTCCAGGCAAACTTTTGAGAGGAAGAGGGCCGAGTGGTGACAGACAGAGGCCCCTTGAGGGAGGAATCCACCCTCTTGTTGCACAGATGGGCTCCGTGAGGCCCAGACACCCACCAGACTATACAGAGCACTTCGCTGCCTGCCCTTGACCAGAGCACAAGGCACCAACTCCAGCTCCAAGTTCTCTATAGACCATTACCCCGCCTGCCCTCAAGCCTCAGGACTTTGAAATGGAACTTCAGAGCATGGTCATCTGAACAATAATCGTAAGGGCAAAGAACATTCTCTGCAAATAAAAGTACCCTTTGTATTAATGCGCCTAATCTAGAGTATCCATATCATCTTTTATATTTGCTATTGCCTTGTGCTATTATAGTGTCCTTGAGCTCCATTCAGTAAACTTCTAAGTTTTAAATGAATTTGGAATACATCTACATATATATATATATACCAAAGGCCAATTAAAATTTAGAAGAAATTATGATATAGTTCAGTTCCTTGAAGGGACTAAAGCTTGCAGTTTCTGCAGAAAAGATGCATTTGAGAAATTTCATGAGAAAATCCTCATGAATTCAGTGAAATATGTTTAAAGGGAACCCGAATCCTATTTAAACTCCATTCTCATCAGAAGGTTCAGGTGTCTTGTAGAAAAGCACAAACCTGTCGCTACGGTTTGGGCTTCCTGGCCGATCAGTTCCCCCTCGATACGACCTCTCACCACGGAGATTTGTAGACTCTACCCTGCTAAGTGTTCCAACCACAAGCACCAAAGGCTTCAACAGTTCAAACAGGATATACATAGCACCCGAAAAGGAACCATGAGGGAAAAGCAGAACAGCGGCCCTTTATAACCACAAGGTGAAAGTGTGAGTATGGTCTGCAGAAATCTCCAGTTTGCTGGGCCCACAGCCCTGGGCTACAGGCTTCAGGAATGCCTCTCCAGGGGCATTAGCTGTAGCCTGTCTCTGAGCATTGGGTAAGGACATACTGCATATGCGAGCCAGATACAACTGTACCCAGCGTCTTCTCAGAGCTAAATGGCCTGAATGCAAACACTTCACAGGAGAACAATGGATCTCTGGTACTAACGGAAGCCATTTCAAGTTTCTTGTTGATTCCCTAGAGTTCCAGGGTCTTTGTCACATCCCTATCATCTCACATAAAGTACCCGACATAACAGAGGCACAGGTGAAAATAATTCCTCTTAATTTATACCTTTTCCTCATTACAGACATTGTCTCTTCCTTGGAAAGTATTTAAGTGGGACGGAGAGGGCCTGAGAAAAGAGTAGGACTATCCCCCTGGCCCATCACTGCGTTACTTACAAGGTAGCCTTTCGTGGTTGCGTGTCTTTACTTCCACTGCTCTTTGGATCAACTGAGTTCCCTGTCCGGGAGGTGCTCGGTAGGGAAGGACTGGGAGAAAAGGAGGTCGGGGTGCTACTGGCATTGCGAGTGCGGAATGAGTCATCTGAAAGGAATTCAATTACAGTCAGACATGCTGAATGTGAAAGATGGTAACTTAAGAGAAGGTTAATGATAGCTTTTTTCTTTTAAAATCCATTTTAAATAATAAACAATAAACTGCACAAATCTAAAGTCTGACGTATGTATACACCCATGAAGCCATCACCACCACCAAGAGTGAACACACCCGCCCCTCCCTCCTGCACCCTGGCAGCCCCTCTCCCACACTCCAGGCAATCTACCTCCGGTCACTAGAAATTAGTTCGCATTTTCTGAAATATTACATGAATGGAATCACACGGTATGTCTGTCTTCTTTCACTCAGCATAATTATTTTGAGATGCATCCTTGTTGTGTATATCAATACTTCATTCCCCTTTATTGCTGACTGACACGCCATTGTATGGATATGCCAAAATTTGTTTCTACATTCTCCTGTTGGTAGACACTGGGATAGTTTCCAGTTTTTGACTGTTACAAAGAAGGCTGCTACGAACAATTGTGTACAAGTCTGTGTATGAATATATGTTTTACTTTCTTGTAAATAAAAGCCTAGGAGGGAACTTGCTGGACCACATAGCAGGAATATATTTAACTTCCTAAGAAACTGACAAGTTGTCCAAAGTGGTTGTACCATTTTGCACTTCCATGAGCAATGAATAAATGTTCTGGAGACTTGCTCTGTGTCTTTACACACACGGGACAGTGTTGACTCGTTAGTTCTAAAGATTTCTCTGATGTATCCTGAATGTAAGTCCTTTGTCAGGTATACGTAATATGGTTATTTTCTTACAATCTGTGTCCTGCCTTTTATGTTTTCATGCTCTATTTCAAAGAGCAGTTTTAAATTTTGATAAAGTCCAATATGTTAACATTTTCTTTTATGGTTTAGAGAAATATCTTTGTCTATTCCAAAATCACAAAGACATCCTTCTGTGATATTTTCTTCATAAATGTCATGCTTCGGTTTATCGTGCATGTTGAGATAATTTTGTATGTAGTGTGAGATAAGGATTGAGGTTCAATTTGGTCTGTTTGTTTGTTTTTTTTTTAAATAGATTTCCAAAGGACACAAACTTAGTGATTTGAGGGGCACGTGCACCTGAATGTTTATAGCAGCAATGTCCACAACAGCCAAAATATGGAAAGAGCCCAGATACCCATCGACAGAAGCATGGATAAGGAAGATGTGGTATATAGATATATAGATACAGAATATTACTCAGCCATTAAAAAGAAGGAACTCTTGCCATTTGCAACGACATGTATGGAACTAGAGGGTATTATGCGATATGAAATATGTCAGTTAGAGAAAGACAAATACCGTATGATTTTACTCATATGTGGAATTTAACAGACAATACAAATGAACATAAGGGAAGGGAAGGAAAAATAAAATAAGATGAAAATTGAGAGGGAGGCAAACCCTAAGAGACGCTAAAGTCCAGGAAACAAACTGAGGGTTGCTGAAGGGGAGACTGGTGGGGAGAAGAGATCATTGGTGATGGCATTAAGGAGGGCACTTATAACGAGCACTGGGTGTTATATGCAACTGAGGAATCACTAAATTCAACCTCTGAAACTAATTTAAAAAAAAAATGGATATCCAATTGTTCCAGAATCATTTTTTGAAAATACTAACCAATTACTATTGATTCCTGTTGGAGCCTTTGTGGAAATTCAACTGCCTATGCGTGACAGTGTAGACACTCCATCTTGACTACTGGAGCTTTCTAGCAAGTGTTGAAATCAAGCAGTTCAAGCTCTCTAAATTTGGTTTTCTTTTGCAAAATGGTTTTGGCTATCCGCAGTTCTGTGCATTTCAATTTAGATTTTGGAATCAGCTTATACATTTCTACAGAAAGACTACCGGAATTTTGATGAGGATTCTATCTCTGGATCAATTTAAAAGGAACTGACATCATAACAATGTTAAGTTTTTCCATTCATGAACATAATATCTCTATTTATTTAGGTCTTCTTTAATTTCATTCAGCAATGTTTTGAATTTTTTAGTGTATATAGAATATACATTTTGTTAAATTTATCCCTGAAGACTCAGTTTTTTAAGTTACTAAAAATGTTATTTTTAAAAATACTTTATTTTGTAAAATTTAGATTTACAGAAAAATTGAGAAGATAATTTCCAACCACCCCCTTAACTCAGTTTCCTCTCCTAACACTTCACTCTAGAATGCTACACTTATTACAGGGAATGAACCAGTAATGAGACATTATATTACTTAACTAAAATCCATAGCGCATTCAGATTTCCTTAGGTTTTGCCTACTGTCTGCTTCTGTCTCAGGATCTCATTCAGCATACAACGTTACCTTCACTTGTCAGCTCTCCTGAGGCTTTCCTTATTTTTGGTGACCTTACCAGCTTTGAGAGGTACTAGCCAAATGTTTTCCAGGATGCCTCTCAATTAGAATTTAGTGGATGCTCCTCTTAGTATTAGACTAAGATTGTAGGTTTGAAGAAGGATGACAGAGGTAAAGTGCCATTTTCATTACATCATACCAAGGGTTCAAACTATGATATATTTTCTGACATTTAATGTATTTTATCCTAGTTTCATGACAGGTCACTAGAAATAGGATTGCTTGAGTCAAAGACTACTTCTTAAAACTAGGATTCTTGAAGAACTTTATCAAACTGGTTTCCCAAAGGGTTCCATGGAGTTTCATACCCACTAACAACGGATACATTGCAGTTTGTGTCCCTGAATCCTTACTACCATTCTCTTTCTACCTCCCCCACACAGCCTTGGATGAATGTTGGAATCAATGACAGGCAAAAGTCGCCAAACAGTTAACAATGGGTTCATGTTGAGTAAAAACTACTCAATTTGACCTTCCAAGTGATAACTCTGACCTTTCATTTCAGCTTTATTTACCCTGCTCTTTCACACTCAACTCCGTGCTCCAGCTGAACTGGCCTCCTGCTGCTTCCTCAAGACACTGACCATCTTCTTTATGACCGGTACTCTGAATAGGATATTGTTCCACACCCTTCTCTGCCCATCAGAAATCCCAGCATACCTTAGGCTTCATCCCAAATGACATAAACATCTTGGAGCCTGCCTTAAGTCCCAAAGTAAGTACAATCTCTTCTCTATGTGAACATCTCATACTTTTGTTAAGAGATGTTTTGCTCCCTTTTTCTCTTTGTAGATGTGTACTTGTGTGTGACTTCTTCCTCAGTCTGTACTTCATTAAGCAATATATAACAAACTAGAAGAGGTTCCAATCAACAATACTACCTCTCCCCAAAAATAATATTGAACCCTTAAGACAGAATATTTTCTGAATATTTTAATATTTAACCTTGTAAAAGATTTACCGTTATAAAATAAACGATCTAAGACTCTGGATGTCAAGTTTTAGGATCCGTAGATCACATACACACTCTTGACTCTCAAGATGACTTAAGAACTAGCAAAGTAAAAACTGAAGAAATCAGTGCACATCATTCAAACTTGTAAAAAAAAAAAAAAACACTCTGAATCATTCTTAATGACTTAAGCAAAGAAATTCCTTGGCAAGAATTGTTACAAGTTCATAAATAAATGTGCTCCTTTGAAGTCATCTCTAAGAGGCCAGATTGGATCCATGCAAGTCTGAAGAACCACTTAGGGACAGCAATAATCATCAGCACCATTGAGCTCCAAGCTGAGCTAATTCAAACTGACTTTCCATGTATATTTATAATTCTTAAAGACACTCTGTATTATAAAGTTCATCAACCCTGAATGTTCCCTCAGTGTCTCCTAAAGAATTCACTGACTTGCTATGATAAAAATAATCAATAGTTTTATTATGTATAGTCCTCACTTCAAGAATTGTTGAGAACTTTAGTTCAAAAACTTCCTATCATCAAATGTGTTCAGGTTTCTTAAGCTATTCGTATTCTATCTTTTAGAACCACTTTGTGTACAGCATGTGAATGTCGATGCTTTAATATTAGAAAGGTCTTTCTGATGTGGCAAATGAAAACATACTGCTCACAGAACAGCCTGCGGGCGCGTATCTACTCTTCATGAGAGTAAGAACACAGTAAGAGGCAAGAGGAAGACAGAGTACTCAAAACACAACCTGAAAAGGAAATGTGACCAAACTTAAAAGAATTTCAGACCTTTAAGTAGATGTGCTGTGCTTTACACTAAAAACTGACCATAGATCAATACTATTAATTTTTAGCCAATATTCTAAGGCAAAAACTTAAAAATAGACTTAGAGCCACTAGCAACTTTTAACAATGTATTTTCCCTTATTCATAGTATAATTCTGTGTTTTATTATATAAGCCAGAGGTCAGCAAACTACTAGTCTGTGAACCAAGTCTTGCCTTGCCTGCTGCCTGCTTTTGTAAATAAAATGTTATTGGGGCATAACCACACCTATTCATTATGTACTATCTATGGCTTTTTGCTCAACAGCAGAGTTGAATAATTGTGACAGAAACCGATTTGACCAAAAAAGCTGAAAATATTTACTATCTGGCCCTTTACAGGAAAAGCCTGCTGACCCCTGGTATAAACATTCAAATATATAATACTGTAAATGTTTGGTTGCATATGATCCACATGAAGCCCTACTATTTTTAACTTCCTTAAAAATTATGGCAAAAACTTTTCATCTGTGCCCCAGGAGGCCCTTGGCCTATGGAAAAACCTACCCTATCATTGTCCTTTCTCTCTTTCAAAAGCACTGAATGCTGACTCTTGGCTGTGAAAACAATATGGCATAGTCAAGTATTTTTTCAGTTGCTAGGGAAAAGTTTAATTATTTGGGCATTTGATAAAGATGTAAGGTTAGGGAAAACTCTGTATCTAGAAATAAAGAAGTAGGTCATTTAAAGAAAATAACATTTCACTATATGTAGCAATTTTTGGAAGAGCTCAGATTTCTACTTACCAGTCAGTGAAATCACAGAAGTCTTCCCTAACCCTGAGACAGAAGGCGTATATCCCGCTGTAGAACTTTTACTAGAAAAGAACGTGATTTAGTTTAAAATACAAGTATATGCTTCTTTCACTCCAGTCATTAGGCACTTGGTCTTTTCTAATCTTTTTTAATGCTTTCTGCTACTTCTGATGACGCACATTTGCTACTTAGAGTTCTCATTTATTGTTTACATCCCATGCCTCCCAACAATTCCTTTGTCTTTAATTTAAAAGCATTTTCTTAAACTTAAAGTTGTTCTCTTGATACTTAGCTAAGACAGAGAATATGGATAAGTTTCACTGGAAATAACTTGTGTTCAGTTCTAATCTCTTTTGCCCATCTCACGATCACCCTGTTGACTAGGAACTCCAGACAGGTCTACTGAGAATGTCCACAAACATAGCTGAAAATCTAGAGTAAGCTATCTTTAACAAAAGAAAAACATATTCTTCCCATGCCATGTTATTTTTGTCGATAAATACTTTTAAAGACAATTATGTTTACTTAAAATTAGTTTTGTTGATTGGTATGAAGCTATTATGTTATATATGTACAACACTTATAACAAATTGTGGTCACTGGATTTATGCTGATTCTCTCCTAACCTTAACTGTTCATAATTCAGTCAGTGGGGCCAAAGGGGAAACCAGACATTCATCTGTTGTAAGAACTGTTGTGATCACTTTACCATAGAAACATGCCAGTGGCTTCTCCATAGAAAGAAACAGTATCCACAGCATGTGGCTGGATGTCCACATCCACCAAGGGAAGGGGACATGTCCACACCCACTTAGCGGTTGGGTGGCACATGAAATAGAGTACCACCTCCCTCATAAAACAGTACATGGATCTCGTGATGTCACCATATAGCACCACGGTGATAATTTTTCTAGGATGCCACAATACTCATTCTTTTTTTTTTTTTTTTTTTTTTTAAGATTTTATCTGTTTGTCAGAGAGAGAGAGAGCACGAGCAGGCAGAGTGGCAGTCAGAGGCAGGGAGAAAAGCAGGCTCCCCGCTGAGCAAGGAGCCCAACGTGGGACTCGATCCCAGAACCCTGGACCATGACCTGAGCTGAAGGCAGCTGCCACCTAACCAACTGAGCCACCCAGGCGTCCCCACAATATCTATTCTTACACAGATTGGTAGACTATAGTTTTTCTCATAGAGAATCTTATAGAAGAAAACTTCCAATTTACTGACCTATACAAAACCCCAAATTAATCCTGATTCTATACAATGTAAATATTTCACATAAATAAAGACATATAACTATAAAAACTGAGTAAAAACATGAAAAGCTGACAGATCATACCTAGGACACTTGTCTAAGTTGCCATACTTTGCATGAAAAGCTTGATTATTAAAAGACTGGCTTCGAATCAGTTTGGATTTCTTGACTTCTTTGCCTGGAATGATAAGCAGAAGGAAAATGCAGCTGCTCAGTGCATCTTCAGCTGCTCCAACCCCATCCCCTCGCCAACCCCCTATCATACTTTCATTAGGCACAAATGGGTCCAGCTTCCTTTCCTTAGTCTGAGCTAACTGGAGTATCCCCTACCCCTACTGCCCATCAAGAACTCCCAAAATAATGAATGATAAGAGGTAAAGGGCATTTTAGAATTTCATCTCATGGAGTGACTTTCCCTGTAATTAATTTTTAGAAAAGGAAGACAGGAAACATAAAAAGAAGTTGCTTCTTACTTGTTGATGGGGTGCTTGTTCCAGAAGGTCCAGGAACAGAAATAGGGATGTTCTTGGGCAGAGTTGTTGGTGTCTTAGTGTCTCTACCTAAAACAAACTCTGTTTTAAATTCTTTCATTTTCTCTGAGCTCCTAGTCTCCATAAACACACAAGACAGCACGGAGAACATGAGTCACTGTCCCTAGCTAAGCAGCATGCTCTTTCCCAAACAGTCTTACTTTATATATTTACATAATTCAAACTTAGCTATCAGTGACCAATCTCACAATCTTATTGCTGTTATCAGACTTTAAGTTTTCCTTTGCAGAATCCGAAGGTCCACATTGACTCGCACAATTTATTCATGTATTCCTACGTCGGTACCAAATGAAAAAGCCAATTTTTAAAAACAACTTTTAGAAAACGAGAGAAAGAAAAGCAATTTCCCACATCAAATCTGAAAATCAGCGTGAGCTTTCAGAGCGGCAGGATGCATCATTAATTGTATGACTTAGCGGTGAAGCCACAAGGAAACCACTTACGTTTCTTCTCAAAGGTTCTATCGCTCATGGGCCTCCCATCATTCTGTTGTTTCTCTTTCTCTAATTGTTCCTATTATGAAAACAGTATGCTAGCATTAAAGGTAAGCACAAATAGATTCAGAAAACTCTTCTAATGAGAAATTATTCTAAGCTCTACAGATGCAAATACAGTTTGCAAAAATGCCTTGAGAAAGAATTATTTTCTCCAAATTACTGTCAAAAGAAGTCAAGGTTCTTTCGGGTTTGTGTTCTTTTACTATCTACAGACTTATAGATAGTAAGACTCTTGGGCCTCTGTCAAGCTAAAGCAATGAGTGTGGTGTCACTCACTGTGTTGTCATGAGCTTTTATATTCTAGAAGACGTCTGCTAATTCTCACCAGCAAAATACTAGCCATATTTTAGTAACATTTTTCTTTAAAAGGACTGAGAGAAAAAGAAATGGACTTTTGGATATTTTTAAATGTTTCATTGAAGTATAACATACATAAAGTACATAAATTATAAGTGTATAGCTCAATGAATTTTCCCAAAATGAACACACCTATATAACCAGCTTCCAGATCCAGAAACAAAATGTTACCAGAAGTCAAAGGAGTCCTTTATCCCAACGAACAGAACAAGTAGGCAAGAAAATCAATAAACATAAAGTTCTGAGCAAACTTAGCTTAACTGACACATATAAAGCACTACCCTCAGGGTGCCTGCCTGGCTCAGTCAGTAGAGCATACAACTCTGGATCACGAGTTCAAGCCCCACATTTGTTGCAGAGCCTACTTAAAATGTAAAAACAAAAAAACACTACATTTGACAACTGGAGAACACACATTCTTTTTAGTTGCACATATAAAGAAAAACAGGGAGAAAATAGACAACAGATTAAAAAAAAATTCCATTGGTCTGCATAAAAAAAGAACCAAATGGAATCTCTAACACTGAAAATAAAACATGTAAAACTGAAAAACAAAATGTCATTAAGTGGACTCACAAGTAGTTTTATCTATTTGTTTACTTTTCCCTCTATTATCTTGATCATGTTGTCTTAAAGTCCTTGTCTGCTAACTCTAATACCAGTATCATCTCCGGGTCTCTTTCTATCACCTGATTTTTGCCTTGGTTTAGGTCATTGAGTCCTAAACATTTTTAGAGCCTGCTTATGCTCTATAACCTCTATCCTGAACTTCAATCTTTGTCTCAGAAGGCTGCTAAAGCAATGTGATTGCTTTTCAAAAGATTTCCACTTAAGTGTTTAATCTCACAGTATAATTCTTCACAGAGAGATAGAACATATAAAGAAGAAATAAATGGGAATTTGAGAACCAAAAAATACACAGTGGGAATAAAAACAATGGATAAGCCCAGAAGCTGAAATGGGGAGGACAGGAAAGAGTCACTGACATTGAAGACAGATCAATAGAAATTATTCATTCTGAGTTAACAAAGTTTAAGGGGAAAAAAAAAACAACCCACAGACCTATGGGCAATATCAAAAGATTTTACATGTGTAATCGAAGACCCAGAAGTAGAAGAGTGAACACATATTTATTTTTTAAATGATTTATTTATTTTAAAGAGAGAGCGTGTGCACACATGCATGTGCAAGTAGGGGGAGGGGCAAAGGGAGAGACTCTTCAAGCAGACTCCCCACTGCACCTGGAGCCTGATGCAGGCCTCGGTCTCACAACGCTGAAATTATGACCTGAACTGAAATCAAGAGTTGGATGCTCAGTCAACTGAGCCACCCAAGCATCCTGAAGAGTGAACACAAATTTAAATAAATAATGGCTCAAACCTTCCCAAATTTGGGAAATAATACACGTTTACAGATTCAGGAAGCTAAGCAAATCCAAAAACAGATAAATTTGAAGTCAATTATGCCTACACACATCAAAAGCTAAAAACAAGAACAAAAGAAAAAAAAATCTTCAAAGTAGCCAGAGAAAAGCAACATTACACACAGAACGATAATTTGAATGAGAGCTAATATTTTATCAGATGTTCTGGAGACAAGAACACAATTACAAAGTACAGTAAGAGAAAGGTTGTCAACCCAGAATTCTCTGAAAATATGCTTCAGGGATAAAGGCAGATAATACTGTATTTCTGATTAGGGAAAACTAAAATATGTCAGAAAATACTATACCCCAAGAACAACTAAAGATAGTTCTTTAGGCTGAAGGGGGGAAAAAGAAACAGAGGGAAATTTGGATCCTAAGCAATGAATAAGAGTATTAGAAATGGTAAAAATAAGAAACACAGAAGTTCACTCTCTTAAATTCTTCAAAGGTACGTATCTCACAACTTAGAGCAAAGTTTTGAATCAGTTGTCATGAGACGAATGGTGGGTACAGATATAATTCACATAAAACTTTTAACATAAAGGGTAGAAAAGATCTGCGTCATTTTTAAATGAAGTGATACAACATTAATAATAGGTAGACTTTGAAAGGTTAAGTATATTGTAACCTCTAGAGAAACCACTAAAAATAATTCTGAAACAGAGAGAGAAAGAAAAAAAGGGGAAAGAGAGAAAGAACACCAGCCACTAAGATAAGAATGAAACAGGGGTTTTATCACCATGGATCTGATATACATTAGAAGAATATAAGAGTATAAACAACTTTATAGTAACAAATTTGACAGCTTAGATGACATAGAGAATTTTGGGTGGGAAGCAACTTAACAAATTTATAAAAGAAGAAATAGAAAATCTGAACAGTTTTATATCTATTAAAAAGTAGTTGAGTCAATTATCAAAATCCGTTCTAAAATGGGCACTTTGGACCTTGACTGTTTCACTAGTGAATTCTATCAAACGCTCAAGGAAAAAATAAGACCAATATTATACAAACTCCATCAGAAAATAGAGGGAGTGGTAATATTACACATTTCATTTTATAAGGCCAGAGTAACTCTAATACCAAATTTTAAAGACTTCAAAAATGACAAAAAAGGAAATTATAGACCAGTTTCACTATGAATATAGATGAATATTAAAAATTAGCCAAGAATCCAGCAAAAGAGAAAAGGATAAAATATCATCACCAGGTAGAGTTTATCCCTAAAATATAAGATTGATTTAAGCATTGAAAAAAATCAATGTAATTCAATGTTTTAAGAGGATGAAGTAGAAAAAATAAATATCATTTCTAAATATGCAGAAAGAGCATTTGACAAAATTCAATAATCATTCATAAAAACCCTCAGCAGACTAGGAATAGGAGGGAATTCTCACAATTTGATAAAGGGTACTCACATAAAACTTCTTTGTAATAACATATTTAATGGTGAAAAATTGAGCCGTTTCCCCTTATAATCAGTAAAATGACAAGGATGATGTCTCCATCACTTTTACTGAACTGGAAGTTTTTTAAAGATTTTTATTTATTTATTTATTTGACACACACAGAGAGAGAAATCACAAGTAGGCAGAGAGGCAGGCAGAGAGAGAGGGGGAAGCAGGCTCCTTGCTGAGCAGAGAGTGCAATGCAGGGCTTAATCCCAGGACCCTAGGATCATGACCTGAGCTGAAGGCAGAGGCTTAAGCCACTGAGCCACCCAGGCTCCCCTGAAAGTCTTTTATTATACTGGAAGTCCTAGACCTTGCAACTAGACATAAGAAATAAAAGGCATAAACACTGAATAGGAAGAAATAATCTTGCTATACTTAAAGAGGATGTAATGGCTCATGTAGAAAATCTTATTAAATCTAAGAAACAACTCTAGAACAAATACAAGACTAAGATACAAAAATCAACAGTAATTGACAGCAGCAACAAAATTCTAGAAAGTGAAATTAAAAATTATAATTCCATTTATAATAATTCCAAAAACATAATACACCTAGAAATAAATATAACAAAATACTTCCTAAACTCTACATTTAACACTACCAAAAATCATATAGAAAAAAGTAAAGAAGATTAAATAAATGGAGTGGTAGACAATGTTCATAGACTAGAAAATTCATTGTTAAGATGGCAATTACCTAAATTGATCCATGGATCAATCCTAATTAACATACAACCTAATAAAAATTCCAGCAAATTTTTATGTAAATGGACAACTGGTTCTAAACTTTATATCAAAATGAAAAGGCCTAGACCGGCCAAAGCAATTTTAAAAAGAACAAAGTTGAAAAGCTTAACTGACATGATTTCAAGAATTACCATAATGTTACAGTGATAAAAGACAGTTTGGAATTGCCAAAAAGATAAACATACAAATCAGTGGAACAGAATAGGGAGTCAAAAATAAACACATACATATATGGACAATTTTTTTTAAAGGTGCTAAAGCAATTCAATAAGACAAGTTTTCAACAAATGATGCTAGAATAATAGAATATTTAGATAGAAAAAAATAGATAAAACTATTTGAAATGGATCACAGACCCAACTATAAAACCTAAAACTAAAATTTCTAGAAGAAAACATAGGAAAAAGTCTTTGTAATTTTGGGATAGACAGAGGATTCTTGTAACAAACAAGCACAAACAGTAAGAGAAAATACTGATGAGCCAGACCTCATCAAAATTAAAAAGTGCTCTTCAAAAGGCACCATTAAGCGAAAAATAAGCCACAAACTCCAAGAAAATACTCATAAAATGGATATCTGAAAAAGTAGTAGTATTCAGAGTATATAAAAACCCTTATATGCCAAAAATTGGAGAAAAACCACCCACTTTAAATCTAAAAAGAGAAACCCCTGGGTGGTTCAGTCTGTTAAACATCCTGCCTTGGGCTCAGGTCATGATCCCAGGCTCAGGCTATCTGTTCAGTGGAAAGCCTGCTTCTCCCTCTCTCCTCTGCTCGTGCGCTCTCTCTTGCTATCTCTCTGTCTCTAATAAATAAATAAAACCATTTTCATAATAAAAAAATTAATAAAAATCTGAAAACAGACTTCATCAAATAAGAGATAAGGATGACCCATAAACAAACAAAAAGGTGTTCAATATCATTAGGCATCAGGGATATGCAATTTGAAAGTCCAATGAGACATGACTATGTACCCACCCTATCAAGCTGAGAGGAGAAGGGGTAACTGAAGCCCTCCGCCATAGCCAATGGACATGTCAAATGGCCCAGTTTTTGTTTGTTTTTAAGTCAAGCATGCCCCACCATATCACCCAGCTCTTCCATTCCTGGGTATTCCCCCCACCCAAAAATGAAAATATACGCCTCTCCAAAGACTTCTTCATAAATGGTCACAGCAGCTTTATTTCTAACATTCCCAAACTAGAAGTTACCTAAGTGCTTATTAAGGGGTGGGTAAGCAAACTGTGTTATGTCTGTAATAGGGGCTACTACTCAGAAATAAAAAGGAACAACTCTCGATATATACAACAGCATGGATGACTGTCAAAACAGTTATGACAGCGGAAAGAAGCATGAGCAGAAAATATTACATATGAATAAATTTATACAAATTCTAGTTGCAAGCTAATTTATTGTGACAGAAACTAGATTAGTGGTCTTTGGGGACTGGGGTAGAAGATATGGATTACAAAGGGGCATGGGGAAACTTCTGAAGGAATGGAAATGGCTGGCATTTTGATTGTGGCAGTGGGTTCATAGATTATCCATAAGTTAAAATTCATCAAAATGAACACTTTAAATATACAGTTAATTATATGCCAATTATATGCTTTTTTAGGGGCTCTCAAATGTAGTTTTCCTTCTAGTTCATAAAAGAGATTTCAAAGGGTCAGGACTCTTTAGTTATTTAGGAAGAAAAACAGCAGTGTGAAATTGAAGGAAAATACTAATAAGTAACTCATAACAAAGCCCAGCTAATACTGATCAGAAAAATGTGTGTGTGTGTACGTGAATATAACGTACCATTTCCATAAGAAGTAGTTCTTCTCTTTCTTTCTCTTGATCCAACAAATCTTTTTCATAAAACTTTTTCTGAAACTAAGTTTAAAGTTTAAAATGAAATTATGAGACATTATGTGAGTTTCTGCCGATTTTAAAATATTCTTTCAGCATAAGATAAGGTGTGTGCTTACCGCATCCATGGACATTTCCATTCTGTCCAGCTCTAACACGGTCTGTAAGCGAAGTGGTAAAAATTATTCAGCAGGAATTAAGTTAAATCAACCAATCATTTCTCAAAAATACTCCTCTTCCAGAGGGAGGTTCAAAGAGGAGACTTCTCTACTCTGCGGGAGACTTAATTAGAAAATCTCTTAAGTTCTTCCCAATTTTACACTGTATTTTTAACCAGCCTCCGAAGGCCAGGATCCGTTTAGACTTGTAAAAGACTTTGACTTTAAGAAGAGCAAGTCTCCAGGTGAACACACAAGTCTCACCGTGAACACACTAAACACACGCAAACTAACAAACTTCTAACTCCCAGGGCCACGTCTCTGAATTTTCGGAAACACAAGATAATTTTTGAGTTTTTTAAAAAAGTTTTAACTAACTATATATGAAGCAAACTCTCATTTGGCCTTAAATCCTTAGTTCCTTCCTGCAGAAACTTTTGACGATTATAACATTGTAGCCATTAAGAAAGACTTTGCCCTAAAAGTATTTCTTGATTTAGTATTTCTCCTTCAGAACACATTAGTCTGAAACAAACTGTTCCAATCAAACAATGATCCATCTAACTGAGGATTCTGACTCTGATAGAGGAACAGTACTGCTCTCCAGGAGTAACTCTGACAGCTCAAATAAAGTACATTTATATATTCCTACATCCAAAGCTAGCCATTGCAAGTGTAATATTTATATGAAGCATTATTTTTATGCTGCAATTTGTGAAAATATTACAATTTATGCCAGGAAATGTCCCCTTTAAATACAATTACTTCTCATCTCAAAAAACTGACTAGCAAAAAGCCATACCATTTTTATCCCAAAGCTTTGTATGGCTTCCTCAGACGTTCCCATGCCAAGATTTCAGTTTGATAAACATTATTCTATAGAATTTTCATGGGATTGATTGACTTCCTCATGTGACATATTCCTAAAGAGCTCTAGTCCAGAATAACCCACTGTAGATTAATAATCCACAAATTTTATCATTTTTGTGCCTACTTACAGGGTTAGTTTGTATTATCTTTTTAATAAATTAATAAAGTTAATTAAATTAATAAAATTTATAAAGTTAATTTTATTAAAATTTATTTTATTTTTATTTATTAAATTTTATTTTAGTTAATAAAATTAATAAAGTTAACAAATTCTTTCAAAAAAGTAACTCACCCTCTTATGTTTATTATTTTGAAAGTTAACTCTATTGCCTAAATTTTGTTATTAAAAGCAAAGTTTTGTTATTAAATGGTATTAAATGGTAAGGACAGAAATACCTAATGTAAACAAATAAATGTAATGCATTTTCTTTACATATATATATAAACATTTATCAGACTCTGGGTATTTCTGGTTAGTTTGGTTGGTAAAAGAGGAATTCACGTTTCTGTAAAACAAAGAGTACACTAATACTAAGTCATCAAATCATTTTATTAAGAAGTTTCTCGTGTGACATCTGGCAATGATCTCTAGAAACAAAAGAAAAAAATCAAAAGATCCTTTTTTTTCTCATCATCGATGCTAAGTTAAAGACATTAATAAATTAATTCTTCCCAGTACAAATCAGAAGGCTGAAGTTCATGTTCAGATTCATAAAAATAACCACTTTAATTTGATTTAATCTTATAATAATATTAGTTACACATTCAGCAAAAAGTTTTTGAAGACTATAAAATATTCTCAGGTTTGACTTCACCAACCCAGATTTTTACTGTTTTAGGTTCTAACATCCCCCAGCAATTCATTTGAGATCCCATGCTAAAACAAAGCAACAAAAAACCCTTAAGACCTGATGATACATTAATGAAAAAGGAATGCCCTCAGGGTAAGAGATCTCTATTCCGGCCCCAGCTCTGCTGCTTGCTAATATAATCTCGAGCAGACGTTTACTATCTCTAGACCTAGAGCTTTTGCAAATCAAACAGATCATGAGGGCCCTCCCAGGGCTAAATTTCTATGAAGTGTGAATTTTCCAATTTTACCAACACAATTTTCCTGGATTATAATCCTTTATAAATCAAGTCTGGTGGGTGAAGCATTTGGTTGACCCGTACTTACTAAGAACCTCACGTGTTCCAAGCTCTCTTTCATGGCGCGTGTATCACTAGTAACAGAAGCTGAATGTCTGAGTTCCCTTTGGAAGGAACTTGACCGGCTGTGGCACACATCAGCCCAGCCAGTTACTAATACTACTCGAGCAACGATGTAAGTATTTTGACATATTGCTATCCTGCCAAGCTAAAACAGGGAAGCTAAAATGGACACTCTCTTCGTGCCAGACATGCAGACATGGTGGTAAGAGTGATACTTACTCTTTTGACAATAGCCAGGACATCCTTATCTTTTTCTTGGCAGAGGAGTTTCCGCACACACATTTCTAACTGCTGAAGTAGGTGCTTATCTGCAGGGATCTTCAGGGTAGATTTCACTTTGGGCAACAAGCAGCAAAGTTTCATTCTATAATAAATTAAATAGTACTGGCTTTTGAGCGCATTTAATAACTAAGAATAAGAGTAACATGAAATTGAAAGAAAGTTCAAAATCTGGAAAGCGTGGGAGTCTGTTTCTCACGCAGCCCATGGTTATGGAGTGCCTGGGATGAGTCCAGCAGGCATTATTCTGGGTGCAGAGATACAACAGTGAATAAAACCAACAAATCCTCTGCTCTCGTGGAGCTTACACTATATGGGGCAGGGAAAAAAGAATAAGGAATTACGTAAAGTGTCCATCGGATAGTGCTAAGCGCTGTGAAGAAAAAGAAATCAGGGAAAGATGAGGGAGGACCAGAGAAGGGGCATTACAATTCTAAAACACGTTTCAGTGACGGTTTCACTGAAAAGATATTATTCAAGCAGAGACTCAAAGAAAATAAGGGAATGAGTAATGTGAACATCTGGAGAGCTTTACAGGCAGGGGCCTGCAGTATGTACGAATGCCCGAGAGGGGGCGCTTGCCTTGGGTGTCACCCCAAATTGGCCCAAACTGGCAAGAGGAGGCCAGCTGGTTTAGGACCCTGTGGGCCACTGCATGGAGCCTGGCTTTTCCTTCGAGCACCACAAGAAGCCACAGAGAATTTCGCACAGACGAGTGAAGTGATCTGACTTAGCACGCCGGAAGTGATCTGAGTACCGGGCTGAGTGAGAGGAGGCGGTAGGTGGCCGGCGACGCAGGGAAACAACAGGGAGGCTCTAGCGGTAACTCGGGCAGGGGATGGTGGCGGCCTGAACTGGAGTGGTAGCAGTCAGGCGGCGAGAAGTGGCTGGACTCGTATATCTGCAAGCAGCAGGACGTGCTGAGGGACTGCAGGTGGGGTGGCAGAAAGGAGGTTAGGCTTTGATCTGAGCTGGCAGCAAGACACAGTGGTCGTTTGCTTGGATGGAGACCACTGCAGAAGGAGCAAGCGTGGGTGTGAGTGCAGGAGACGGGGATTTACTTTTGGACAGACTGAGTCTGAGGTGCTTGTGGAACATGGCATGGAAATGCTCAGTGGGCAGCTAGCTCAACGTGGCTCCCGGCCAGGATGGACGTCCATGCTGGAGGTAGCATCAGGAACCTTCAGCACACAGATGACAGGCAAGCCATGAGACTGAATGGATCGCTGAGGCTGTATGTGCACTTTGAGAAGAAAAGGAAAAAGGACAGAGTCTAGGCACCATCCCAGTCTACACCACATGCATAAGGAAGCAACACAGAGACTGAAGAATACCAGAGAGGGGAGAGGGGAGAGGAGAATGCCAGGGAGAGACCGAAGAGCCAGTGCAGAAAATGTTCTGCTTTGCTAAGCTACTACTCTACCGCTCTGCCAGGGCTGGTCTTAGAGAGGGATGCTGGGTGGCTCTCTATGTTTTGGCTGCTGTATTCATTCGTTCATCTGAGTGCTCTCCAGATATTATTTTTTTACTCCTATGCCAAACCCGAGACAACCAAGTCCCATTCCTAGAGTTTCCAGGACGTGCTGTCAGCTAAGCTTACAGTGAAGGATTCTTCATACACAGTAAGATTTGCTTTTTATTCAAGCAAAAAGGTGAAAGAGGCTCTGCCTGCAGAATTTTCAGATCCGTCCGGAGCAAAAATGGTCTCAAACTCATTCAGAGCTCACCACGGATCCTGGTGATGCTTTCTCTAAATTAAGAGGCCCCAGTTGCCCCAAAGAGAACTTTTTGCATTTCTGGCCGAGAGGAAGACTCCTCTGAATGCCAATAGTCTTTCCAGCCTCCATACTGGCTAGACTCAGTGAATTCAAATTTTAAACATTCACTTACAGAAAACCAAAAACAAAAGACTATGCATACTTCATTCTTCATAACTCAAGGCAGGTCTGGAAAACCTACTATATTCAACAGAAGGTACAGAAGCCACAGGGGTGATTATCTCTGTGAGAATCCTGGGCCCATGAGATGATAAAGATTTTAAGATTAGGTATCACATCTTTCCGGTAATCTAAACTCTTTATGTACATTATCTCAGGTGTTTATCCATCAGAACACCCTATGAATTGGGTAACTAAGGAAATCAGTGCACAGAGAGATTCTGTAACTTGCCCAGAGACACACAACTAGAATGAAGCTGGAAATCAGCTCAGGCGGTGTGGCTTCCAGAAGCCCTCCTCCTAACGGCATCATCCCGCCGCTTTCCTTCTACCTACACATCTCTATAGAGTTGGACAAATGCTTCTATATCCAAAATCCAGTTAGGATATGGTGTTGCTGGACCCATTTGTTGGGCTGGCAGCTGCCTGGGCAGAAGAGTGGAAACAGACAAACTGCTATGCAATGATCTCTTACCCCCAAAACCAACCAACATTCACGGAGATATGTTCAATTAATCTTCATTTGGTTTTTGAATTGGCAAGTTGCTTTCTCTTGAGGTTAATGCTATGCTTTTAAGTCATATTCACCTGAGTAGAGATGATGTCATTTCCTTTCAAATAATTTTTGTCGACTGCTTGGTTAAGTGAAAATTCATCACCCCAGGTGCTGCTTTACTAGAGTCCCAACTTTACTTTGCAAAATGTTAACAACGTAGTTGGACTCATAAGAGATTTAACACAGATAAGATGCACAAAATACTGCAGCCAATGCAGTGGCATTATCTGTACTTTCTTACACTAAAATAATAAAACAAAAACGAATCGTTTGATTGCCCCTAAAAATGGACAGAACTTCACCAAGCCAACTTTGAGTTGTTTTTTCTTTAGTCTTAGATGATCCATAAATTAAGAATAGCTACTCAACCTTCTCCTGATGCCAATATGTCTACCCAAGTGGCAGGAGAAGCCTGCCAGTCTGGCTTTGACTCTTGCCCTCTCGACCCAATAAACAGAAAACCTGGGACACTGTGAAAAAAGATTATGCTTCCAAGTCCTACTGAGGCTCATCAATTAGGATAACTAGGAATTTCAGAGTAAGTATACATTATTTGTTTTTTTTTTCAATTGACTATGAAAAAGAATTTGCATGTTTGTTATAGTACATAAGCAGATATATTATAGTAGATAAATTTAAAAGTACAATTTTTTCAAGTATTTCCTTGGACTGGTACCATACCTCACATTTGCCACAGGATCATGTGTCAGTTCAATAGCAGGTAGAAAGAAATATTTACAGAAAAATGATTTGGAGAAGATTTCTATAATAAATTCACAGGTATCCAAAAATCGAAGTCTGTTCCAATAACTTTTTCCTTGGCCCAGTTCTAGAAACAACAGTAACAAAAAAGAGAAGTTTAATTTTTTCCTACACGAAATTCTATGTGACAAAATCAAACACATAGAATCCATGACAAGTTTCTTTGTATCCACAATTTGTTTAGAAAATAGAAGAAGAGAAAAAAATCATATTATACACTCCAGATTAGTAGACTCCCAAAATAATGGCATCTTAAAAACCAGAAAAAAGGTCATTTTTAAGTATTGAATATATATGCTATTTTTGATCACCCATTATGTGCTGAATACTTCACATGTATGATCACATTTAATCCTGAAAAGCAATCCAATAGGATAAGCATAGATTTATCCAACTGAGAAGAGAATCTCAGAGGTTAAAGTCACAGAGCTGGTAAGTGCAGGATTGTAATTCAAATGCAAGTTTGTGTAATTTCAAACTTTGAAGTTATATTTGATTAATCAAATCAACTGCTTTCTTTGTCTCATTTCCATAAGAATCCTATGAAGTGGTTAAAGTCGTATGTAAACACTGTATTACTGACAATAATTCAGGTTAACATGTAAAGGATCATTTTCTCTCTTATCACACAATGTTCAAAAGCAAAATTCTTAAGATTTAAAACCAAACAGAATGTCCTTACAAAATAAAACTGATTCTAATTGTGAGGTCCTACCACTGAGAAATGAAAATTAAATTAAAACAGAGTAAAAAAAGAGAAAGATTAAAGTATACTGAGCATCGGGGCGCCTGGGTGGCTCAGTGGGTTAAGCCTCTGCCTTCAGCTCAGGTCATGATCTCAGGGTCCTGGGATCAAGTCCCGCCTCAGGCTCTCTGCTCAGCGGGGAGCCTGCTTCCCCCCTCTCTCTCTCTGCCTGCCTCTCTGCCTACTTGTGATCTCTATCAAATAAATAAATACAAAATGTTAAAAAAAAAAAAGTATACTGAGCATAATTTTTCTTAAATGGAATTTTATATACTCTAATTTTTTGAAAAGTGGTGATCCATACTTAAAAAGGTAAACTTCAGTAACCAGAAAATCCCATTTACTCACCTATGCTGGATAACAGAGTTTAAGAAAAGCATTAAGACATTATGTCAAAGCAAGTATACAGTAATTAAAAAGGATATATATGTGTGTGCCACTATTTCTAGAATTAACAGTTCAACTAGAGGTTTATATCTTGATTTTAGCCCTTAGTAAATTAAAATAAATTTGCATTTGTTAATTGACTTAATCTTTGAAGACATTATGAACCACTTAAGCTTACCAGATACATATTTATAGGTACTATCAACTCTGCTCAAGGAAACAAACCAAAAACCCCTTCATTCTGTTAATATTTAAAATAAAAACATAAAATAAATTACTACATTCATGGATATTCTACGCATATTTTAGTTCCAAATGCTATTTATCAGCGTAGAAACTAGACTCTCAACATAATTATTTTAATTATTTTTAATAATTAATAATTATTTAATAAATTTGAATAATTTTAATTAAACTAAATATTTTGATATTATTTTAATAATATTTTAAATAATTATTTAATTAATTATTTTAACTTATCAAGTGTAGAAACTCACTAAAGTAGGCCCAGACTAATTATTACTTTATTCATCATAGACTGATCCTGTCATACAGATTTCTAAAACCAAAAAAAACTAACCTACAAAACTCAAACACAAACACACTCTGGGTATTTACCAATATCAGCCTAACTATTCATGGCAAAATGATAAAGCCAGACAGAGCTAACTAAGGCCAGTTTACTTTCTGTTTTTCAAAATGAGAGGCAATGATTACTTACGTTCAATTAATTTTTGAATGACCTCATGTCTCTGTTCTTGTTTACGATTATAACGTAGAAAAACGCATAGAGTCCGTGAAGCTGCCTTTTGGACAGGTAAGACATTCTTGAAGAAATAGGTAAGAAAGACAATTAAACCAATCAAACAGCATAATTTTGCTTCACAAATCAATTTTCAGTTTTGGCTAAAAGCAAGAGCAGGGATGTCTGCCTCTCAAATCACTGTGGAAAGTTTCTTCATAATTTCACGTTAATATCACTCAGGCAAATCAGCTAAAGTATCACATTACGAAGTTAATGCAGTTTGGCACGGTCATTTCCAAGTCATCCAGATCTGATTTATATTTGACTTTCTTTCTCTGCTACTTCAGCTTACAAGACATTCTCCCCAAATACATCTCCCCAGCCATTCTCTTAGCTTTTCCCCAGCCTTGTGTTAGGTATTGCATGTTCTTGCAAATATTCATTGAGTAAATAGTCATTGAGTAAATGACTATTTACTCAATGAATATTTGCAAGAACATGCCCTGTGTCAGATACATCACCAAAACAGAAATCTAGAGATCCCGTGACCAGCTGTACTTTTCAGTCCTTCTGGCTTCTATCTCTTCAGCCTCAGTGTCATTCACTGAGATCCCTGGTCTATCCCACAGATAAAGCTTAGAATCCAAAGGACACCATGTCAGTAACTCTTACTAGTGTTCTGTATTCCTTTGTCTTTTGAATTTCTGTCACACCACTGGGTACAACTGATATTTAAGTGAACTCAATCATCTATCTTTACTGGGTTTGGGTTCAAATTATGTATTAGAGAAAAATCTCTCAAGCAGATATACTATGTCCAGTATAAAATTCACGTTCACCATCTTGGCTTACATAGAAATACTGTAATATTTAATTCTTGAAGATGCAGGTATTATAATGGGGATCCTTGGAATTCGAGTAAAATAAAACTTTACATTGCTGGGAGTGTGATGCCTGCTACCTCCTCTCGTGTTTTATACACTATTGTGTGGTGTTTTTAATGTGTTAAATGTAAAAGGAGAATATTCATTATGAATTAGAACAGAAAGTTTAAGAAATGTACATAAACAGAAGCATCACTAGAATTTTAAAAAGTGAATTTTAGGTAAATGAATTAAATAAAAACAGGTCACTCTTTTCTTTCATTCTGTGTATACTAGTGGAATTTTGAATGCATAAATACTTTAGTCATAAGAAAATATGTATATTTTGTACCTCACAGTATAACATAAGTTATCTTTTGGGCCAGAAATCAAAGATAAATGTATCAAAAACACCTAAGGGGCAGCCTGAGTAAGTTGTGAAGACTGGAGCACACTAAGAACGACTACAGTTGATTAAAACCATATTTAATGTTAGAGAATGAGCCTGAAAGAGAGAACAAAACCAAAAGAAAACTCAGCGATCTCCACTGCAAGTGGCTCCTGCACCAACTCCCAGCTCTGAAAATTGATCATTGGAGGAAAAAACTAAGGATCACATGAGGAAATAGATTTCAGCATCATCAAATTACCCACATGGATGAAGCAAAGCATCTCTTCATAGAAGAATGCATGAAAAATGTAGAAGGGATAGAATTTTTAAAAATCACTCTTCTGCAAGTTCTAATGAAAACGGATTCAGGAAGGGTCATCAGCGGATGCCAACCCTAATGGGTGTGAGGTTGATGAGAAACTGGTGTCCAAAGGGTTCCAAGGGTCAGCTCGCAATGACAGTGCCCCTTGCAAGGGAGAAGTCATAATTCTGCCGTGGGATAAGAGAGCTGTCACCACCTGGACAAGCACTCCAAGCTCACTTACAGAGGAACACGTGTCCTCTGTTCCCAAGATGATGCGAGATGACGCGAGATAAAATACAAAGAGCATTTATGAAGTACGCTTGGCAAAAATGTTTAAACCTAAAACTCAGCAAGCCCTTAGATCTAATTTTCCGTTGACAGGAAATACTGAGACTAGGTGAACAAGCTAACCCCATGAGGCAGCAATGTGACAGATACAGAACGGGAATATTCTACAGGATGACGAAGTCTCTTCCACAATTCAAGGTCGTGAAAAAGTGGGGAAAGGGAGAAAAGGGAGTCTGTCCTGAATTAAAAGACAATTAAGAGTTGTAACAGCCAAAGGCAATGTAAAGATCCTAACTGGATCCTATATGGAATATAGGAACATATAAAATATGGTCGGGAACAATGTCATCTCCATGGATGTGAACTTACACTGAAGAATAACCATCCATTTTGTAAAATGCAATGATTCTATTGTGATTATACAGGCGGATGTCCTATCTTAGAGATGAACATTGAAATGTTTAGAGATAAAATATAATGATATCTGTAATTTAAAATTCCTCAGTGCAATGAAATAGAAACACAAATACGGCAAAATGTTAACAATTGTTCCGTCTAGCCGGGTTCTACAGGAGGGTTCATCATAGTCTTTTCTCTGCCTATCTGTATCTTTAAATTTTTTTCACAACAAATGCAGAAAAAAGAAGTTAATGTCATTCCTCAAAACTTTCCAAAGATTCTCCTTGTTTCAGAGACCACAAACTAGACCCCACATCCCGGTCTTCAAAGTGTGCCGCCCAGGCACCCTACTCCCCGCCACTCGCCACCCCAGCTTCCTGGCGCCTCACACAACCACATTACTCCCTTTGCCCTTGTCCTTCATCCACATGGTAACTCCTTTACTTTGTTCAAGCCTCTGCATGAAGCATACTTGATCAGAGAGGGCTTTTCCCTGACACCTGTCTCCACAACAGCACCCCACTCCCATCTGTCACGCTCCTCACCCTCTACCCAGCTTTGCTGTTCCTCACTGTACTTTTCAACCCTGACATATTATGTACGTATGTTGCTTGACGACAGCCGGTCTCCCAATAGCATCTCAGGCTGCGTGATAAGACGTCCTCTGTCTCTTTGTTCACTGTTGTATCCTGGTACCCAGAATACACTGCTTGGCACATAGTAAGCACTCAATAAATTTTGCTGAATGAATGAATGGGTATTATTATCATTAGGTATGGAATTAAAAATATAAATCTTTTCTCCAGAGGATATTGAAGCAGAATAATGTATCCCTTTGATCATGGGAAATGTGCTATAATAATCATGTATCTCCTTTTAACTGGGGAATTACTGCCTTGTAAAAGAAAACAGTAAAACAAATCTCTTAGGCTTACAGGTACTTTGTTCACATTTTTGTGATAAATCATTTCTCTTTCTTGAGAAGTGAAATTAAAAATACAGAATAACTATGTGTTCCTAGCTTTGTAAACACAGCCTGCCTACTAAATCATTAGGCTGAGATAAACAATTAAGATCAAATGTCCCAGCACCTACTGGCATCTGTGAATATATTCACTCCTCCTGTGGGACTATGTATCCTGTTACCACCCTTTAGAACACAAGCTCCCTTAAGAGCAGGAGTCCGTCTGTCTTAATCCGCTCCTATATCCCTAACTCCTGAAATAGTGCCTGACACAGAGCAGGCACTCAGATTATTTCTGAATAAAATAATTCATCAATTCTGTGCAATTTTACGTGAACTTTCCTATGTGGCACACTCACAGACTGTCCTCTGATAAGGAGTCATTGATGTCAAAATCATTTCTTAAGACTGTTACAGCTATAATGTGACCTTCAGGCTCTAGGCTATGCTTTGATGAATGAAATTAACCTGTAGAAGTGTTAGTTCATGAAATGTATCCTTATATTTTTTTACTTATGTTATAAATGACACCAATAATGTTATTTTGTTTTTCTTTTAATCTTTGAAGCTAAACCTGAGTTTGGTTTCCTGAAATGACTATTCGAATTCATTATCTCCCTTTCATTGAGAACAATGAGAATATAAAGCACTTTTTCAACAGTTTCTAAAATACACATGGTATATAGAACTTTTTCATACCTCAGAATTGGTAGGAAGACATATTAAATGCACAGTGAACTGTGAGCTAAATAAACCTCTGAAATTGTTGTGTCAAAGGTAGACAACTTACTCTCTGGAGGATTTGAGTACAAACCTTTTCCTTCCCCCCCCCCCACCCCCGCTTTTGACTCTAATTTTAGGGATATCCACAGTAGGCTATCATGTTTTTAATGTAAGCTTTAACTGTTACACAGCCACTTTTTAGAGATCCTTTAAAAGAAAAAGCAACTTCACTAAGATTTAGGGACTTACAGGATGTCTCGGCAACATGGCATAGCTGAGGTAGGTAGGCTCTGAAGCCAGGACACATAAAATGTGGATGTGAGAGCACAAGGGACTCCGCAATCGAGATCAGACTCCTGCCAACCTGCCTTTTGAGAACTATATCAAGTCTGAAGTGAGTCTATTCACACTCTCCTTGGCAACATATGGAAAAAGCTAAGTAAAGGTACCTCCTGTTCATTCTTCAATCCAGCTGTGTAGGCAATGTTCAAACATAAGCATTAGTGAAGAAGCAGAGGGAAATCTGAGTCTCCCCCTTGGGGACCTGGGAATAAAACATTCTTCTAGGACCAAATGGAATCAACAGAGTTTGTTGTACTATTCTGAGAATGGGAAGAATCTGGTAATTCCAAAATCAAGTGTGAGTTCAAAAGAATTAGATGAAAGGCGGGCGCCTGGGTGGCTCAGTGGGTTAAGCCTCTGCCTTCGGCTCAGGTCGTGATCCCAGGGTCCTGGGATTGAGCCCCGCATCGGGCTCTCTGCTCAGCAGGGAACCTGCTTCCTCCTCTCTCTGTGCCTGCCTCTCTGCCTACTTGTGATCTCTCTCTGTCAAATACGTAAATAAAATCTTTAAAAAAAAAGAAGAATTAGATAAAATGTACTGCACTCACATTTGTCATCATGATTGTGAACATTCTTTGTAAGAAACGATAATAAATCTGATCACTTGATATGATGTGTGGCAGACAGGCATATTTCTGGAGTAGCTTCTCATGAGTTCTCCATTTCAAGGAGGCTGCCGCTCGCTGCTCAGCGGCTGTGAGGGCTGGGATCAAGTCAGGCAGAGATGATAACTGAAAAAAAGCACATCAGAAGACTGATGATAACAAATCAATTGCAGCATTCAGTCAAACTACCCAGTCTTATAATACACTGGGGAGAGGAATATTCTCACTCACTTCAGAACCTAAGAGGATCTTAGCTACTACAGGGAGATAATTATCTGGCAAAATCAAATACATTTCAAAAAATCCATAAGTAAAATTTATGCTTACTGAAAACAAAATTTTGAAATAGAGAATGAGACTCAATCCTTCTAACCTAAGTACAATGTGTTCTATTTCACTGTTGGAAAATTTTGGCTTTCTACATTCCTACTGTTCTGTCATCACCAGATGCTATGCTTGGAATAATAATTAATACTAATAAAAACTGAAAATATGAATGTAAACTCCAAGGACAATAAATAAGAATCATGGGGGATTCTCACTCATGGGGGAAATTCAAGCTGTTGAAGCTTCCACAGATATTTACTAATAAGCACCTGCTATTACGGGGCAAGCACTACTTTAAATATTTTCCACACATTATCTCATTGATTCCCCACAACAACTCTGTAGAGAAAGATCATACTTAAAACATTCAGCAACTTCTCTGATACATGGGATTTACCTTGTTTTCTTGAACACTGCTTTCTCCACCAGCAGACATAAGTTCAAGGATTTCTGGAAGATGATCTATAAGAGCATCTAGTACCTTTTAATAGAGACATCGATTACTGTTATGGTAACTACTGTTTTTCTAATCTTGTATTAGCCTCATATGTCCATTTCTGTGCAGAAATAGCATTATTTACCAAACAAAATTTAGGGACTTTCTATTTTCCTACATTGCCATCTTCTTGCTGGAACGTTTTAGAAATATGGTCAACTGCCCCGATCAAAACTACCTTTTTGAAAAGAGATTAGTGTATCTGCCCCTTGATCTAGATCTAAGGCAGCTACATCTATACAACCAATATGCTGAAAACTACCTCTCAACTTTTACAAAGCAATTTAAGTCAGGTAACACCCTCAGCAATGTGCAAATATTGATGAGTTGAGCTTTGGCAAGCTAGTAGTCATTTGGGTGAATAGGATACACTAAATGCATCATCAAAACAAAGAATTTCAGTTTCCCCAAGTACACTCCCCAAATAATACTGACAGAAAAAAAGATACAAAATGTGATATAAAACAGGACTGCAATTATGTAAAATACAAACATTTTCATAGCAAAAAAATAAAAGAAAAACTTAAAAATATAACAAAACAGAAACAGTGACTGGAACTTTTGTCTGTCTACTTTCTGATATGTCCTAAATTTTTCTTAATAAACAAATATACACTATTTTAAAACCTAGTATTTTTTTTTTAAATATCTCAACTTCCAGTCTATGATACAATGGCACCTTGTCTTGACGCTTTTGGGGCTAGTCAGTTGAATGAATTCATGCAATTCTGAAGAAGTTTGGGGGGGAACGGGCATTAATAATATTCAGATTAACATAATTATGATAATTATAATAATTAACATAAAATTAACATAAATGAAGTAAAAACCAAATAGTAAGAAGATATTACCTCCAGTGATTCATCTTGTAATAATGTTATTAGTTCTTTATGAATTAAATATACTCCAGAATTTAGAAGTTTAGATACCTGAAATGGAGCAATAAAGTCTCTCAGATTTAAAACTATTAGACATCTAAAGGATATAATAATAATTTTACAAAACGCACCCCTTTTAGATACTTCTTCTAAAACAAAACTAGGTTACAATATAAATGTAAAAATTAAATTTCTAGAAAAATTAATTGCATAGAAAACCAGCTTTTTTAACCTGCTTTATAACACTCTGGAGTGTGGAGACACAGGGTGGGAAAGCCAGTGCCCACCAGGGTGTAGAAAGTACAGGATGGATTCATCAGAGTCATAATTTTCATAGCACAAGCAGTAAGTCCATGGACACCTCTAGCTCATATTTTAAAGTCTTAATAGCAGCCAAGAGGGTCTGACAGAACATCGTGGGCATATGAGCTTTCATCCTGGTTCAGTGCCTCCTGAAGAAGGCAAGCACTGCAGAAGGTCGGTGTGACACAGGGACAGAGGGGACTCTGAAGCAAGAAAGACACTGAAGATATTTCCCATCAAAGACTTTAATCAGCACCGGAGGAGTTGGAAGGGTCTAATCTAGCTTCCCTGTGAACAAATTTGTTTTTCTTCCTCCAGGCAAACTCAGAACCCCCAGTGGTAAATTTACCAGTTTCTACTTCATCTTTTTTTTTTTTTTCCTTTTCTTTTTTGGGTTTGGTGTTTTGTTTGTTTGTTTGTGTTTACATATTGGGCTTCTGGGTAAGATTTTATTTGGTGGGGGGAAAGGTTCCTGGATAAAGAAAATGTTTTTAAAAATTTTGCTCTACAGTGTTGTTTCTGACTTGTTCAAAATACTTTCAAAATAATGTATTTCTGAAAAACAAGAATGAAGTTAGGACATGGTAAAATAACTACCAGAATTTAACAATAACACTGTGAAAAAACCGTAAATCCACCAGTGGACTCTCACTACTCAAAAGGATAAACCTAGACTAACAAGCTTTTTATGGAGTAACAGCAACAATCTACCTACAAGGTACAACTAAGAGAACATGGCAATTAGCTATCCAACAAAGAGCTAGATCAATGATCCAAACTTCTGCCAGTGAAGTATTTTTATGGACACATTTCAAGATGTTTATTTATAGGGTGTTAACATATTACATCTACTATAAAACGCAAAAAAATGAAATTATTAAAGGGATGAGATAAAAATAAACATCAGTAAAACCTCTAATATATAAATACTGCTTTCTCAGATACTAAACTCACGAAACCATCTCTAGACACCACTCATCTAACAAGTACAAGCACGCACAGTAACCAATCTGTGTGCCCACTTAACACATAGTGGGGACTGATGGTTTGAGTGAACTAGGCCAGCCAAAGCACTCTGTTCTTTCCCCTCCTCTGAAAGTCTGTTTCTATCGCTATATTTTCAAAGATAACTTAATTCTGTAACACTGGAATTATTTTAATTAATTATTCCATTTAAAGGAAATATTTCCTAGATTGTGCACAGTGACCAGAAAAACTGTTATTCAAAAGAAGCAAAGACTATCAGCCAGCAGCCAAGAGTTATTTATTATTAAGCAAAATAATAGTGAGACTATAGACGCCTCAGGTACTTTTAGCTAATTAACGATGCTCTGCTTGCTGTAGGAACACAGTACAAGGAAGGGACTGAAATCTTCTCATTGAGACTAAGAATATTTAGGTGCCTCTTATAAAGAAAGGAAATATTTTATTATGCCAATTATAAAGAGGTATTTCTGTTTTGAAGTTCCTAAGTTATAGTTCATACATCTTTACTACAACTATAGCATACATGTGCTTACTGGGATCATCTAAGACACGAAGTCAAATTTCAACCTCAAGCATAGAACAGTTAATGACATTCATCATCAAAGTTTAAATTCATTTTTGCTCTTACATTACAGAGAGTTGTTGTAATAGCCGAACCTAACAGCTATGTTCATGACACATGATCCATTTGCAGTAGAAACAATAAATTTAGGGTGCCTGGATGGCTCAGTTGGTTAAGCATTTGCCTTTGGTTCAAGTCATGATTCTAGGGTCCTGGGATTGAGCCCCCGGCTCAGCGGGGAGTCTGCTTCTCCCTCTCCCTCTGCCCCTTCTCCCGCTCATGCTCTCTCGCACTCTATCTCTCAAATAAATAAATAAGATCTTTAAAAAAATTTAAATAATCTGTCTCTCTATTTTCCATTTATTCTCAAGTTCTTGAGTTTAGACGCAAAGTTAAATATAAATACTATAAAGCATATAAACACTGATTTTATTTCCAAAGTTGCAATACCCGTATTCACACCACAATGTCTGGCTTAAAGTAAGCATATAGTATATGAATGGGTTAATAAATGATAAATGATTATAATGTGCTTATGTAAATGAATTCTACAAACATACTAAGAGAATTATGGGAATTTTAAAATAACATTAAGAATCACAATATGAAAGACATATGGAGTCTATATCTTGTAATAAATTTTTATAAATAGAAGTGTACACAGTATCAAAAAATCATCTAGCATACATAAGTGGAATTAACAACAAACGTGAAGTCGTATTACTTAATCAGACTTACTTCATAAAAGCAAATAGCAATAGTGTATCTGACTGGTACTTCAGGGTCATGACAAAGGCAGAAGAATGTAGAATAGAGTTCCATGTGGAAGTTTTTAGGATCAACAAAAACAATCATGGCCTGGTGAAGGTGGAAGGGAGAAGATGAGTGGGAAGGAGAGAAAAACATGCATCAATACCTAGTATTACAATCATTTATAGTGAAATAATGCCCTCTGAATAATAATTTAGATAGAGATCATATTTGGGAGATCCAAATGCATGCATACAGTTCTAGTTTATATATAAAGGTAAATATAAATTACAGCAATATTACATAGAACCTACTGTATATACCAGACATAAGGTTAAGCAGTAGGTGTCATATATGCCCATATTCTTTAATGCTATCTACTCATTTATTTTAAAGTTATAATCAAAATGTTTATTCCATACAAATACATAGTTTATTACCGGAAAGTTATAAGCACAGTTCTTCCGGACTGAAATATACTTCTTCTCCTGCTCTAGGATTTGGGGTGGAATCTGATTTTCATTGTGTCCATTTTCTTGTTGCAAACCCAATGTACAGAGTTTCTTATAAAACTCCAAAAATCTCAAGTGTTGATCTGGAGTAAAAATTCCTAAAATAAATGTAAAACCTTTGTTTAACATTTTAATTGAAAACAAAAATAAAGAGAGAAAAGCAAAGTACAATATATACATAATTGGAACCAAATAGTCAAGTAAATGGCTAAAGATCATAAATAAAGGCATCAGTGAGGAAAGAGTACCTATTATGAAGAAACCCAACACATTTTTTCACCTGATGTTAATTTTAACAGTATTTTAATTTTGATTTTGATAGCATGACCTACACAATGCAGGAATTACAACTGCATTAATTTCTGCCGCATATAACATACCACAGACCTCTAACAAGTCACTATTATAGTAATACATCAGGGTCATTACTGCTGTTTATTGTAAATATTCTAAAGCTGTCTGCAGAAAAGACACATATACATTTCTGCAGAAAAGGTGCTTAAAAACTCAGGTCTAAAAGATGACAAAGTAAACTCAAAATATTTTTGATCAATGGACTGGTTCCATATTCATAAACTATGTTAGGGAGCCAGGAACTCATCATATACTGAAGTACTTATTTTCAACAGCCTATTAAAAGTCTACAATATACATTTTCAAAAATGTTTTACTATGCCAGATGGTTATAACTTAATTTATGCTTACATTATTATAGTTAGCTAAGAACTGAGTAATGTTCAAAATGCCAAGTTGTATTATGTTGAGTAATATTCAAAATGCCAAGATGTATTATGCTGATTCTAAGCTGAAACACTCACATGATATATTAATTATCCAGCAAATAGTTAATAAGGGTATACTTACTATGTACCAATAGTTAATATAAATGAACTTCTATTATCATATGCCAACTGATACATACTCAAAAAAAACTTTTTTTTTAATTTCAAAAATTTAAAGGGCCATGCCTACTTCATTCTGTCACTGTTCTTTCAAATAGGTTCTATTGGGGGAGAAGTCATTTTTAATGTGTTCTAAATTAAGCTATCAAAAATTTAGGTCTCTTAAGATTTAACACACTGAAAGGGGGTTTTACAACTGGAGAGCTTAAGCTTAGTAGGCTGATATAAAAGAAAAAGGAAAAAATTATCTACAATCTTGAAATTCTTAAGATATATCATACCATATAGTCCATGGCATAGTTTTCCTAAATGGAAAGACAAGGAAATAAGAATTGATTCATCTGCTTTGAAAGATTTTTCACAAAATGATTTCACTAGGGGAAGTATAGTTTGACTTCTGTCATCTGGAAAACAAAACAAAACATACTTTAGATCAAGTCACCCACACTGCACATGTAGAAATTAATACATACACACAGATCCCAGAAAGAAAAATTACTGTTAGCCCCATAGTAACAGAAGATTTCTGCCAGCAGTGGTGGGGGGTGTGGGGCATAGAAGCAGAGAGAGGAGAGTTAAGATCATCAAAAACTTCAATGCCAGGTGGAGAAGCGCAGACTTTCTGTATGCCTGTTTACTGAATTTCTTCACTTTTACTTCTTAGAAGACACTTCCTTAAGAAGCTAGTCAATTTTTTTTTTTAAAGTAGGCTCCCCACCCAGCATGGAGCCCAGTGCAGGGCTTAAACTCACAACCCTGCAATCAAGATCTGAGCTGAAATCAGGAATTGGACACCCAACTGACTAAGCCATCCAGGCACCTCAAAAGTTAGTGAATATTTTTAAATAAGTCTGCTGGCTATAAATTTCTGATATATTAGCAATATTTACGTCTTAATTCTAAATACTCTGAATTTCCCATAGTTCTCTTAAACTTTCAGAAATGCACCACTACTTTATTAAGGGTCTGAGAGGACTAAGTAAAATGCAGCAAGAGGCTTATTAGTATTATTATTCCTGTGACTCTCACCACAGTTCAGTACAACTACTGTTTTAACTAAACAACACTCATCAGACAAACACTTACTGTATTTCATATAGAATAAAAGCATTATATTAAGTAAACAGAAAAAGAAGTAATACATGGTCTCTGAACTTGAGAAGCTCAGACCAGCAAAGAAGCCAAGGTGATGATGAGTGGTATTGGGAGCATCGTGTACTGGGAGCAGGAAGGAATGGCAGGGAAAGCTGAGAACACAGGTCAGACCCAGATCTGTGACAACCAAGTGCGGGCAGTGAGGGGAAGAGAGCAGAGAGGATGCCAGGATTCCCAGACTGAATGCCCAGGGGTACCCCATAATTAGGACAAGGAGATTCATTCATTCACCTCTTTTCATGTATTATAGTTTTTCCCCCTCTGGCCCATCAGATAGCCTAAATGATTATTCTGTAGCAATCATATGTAATTACCGTCCACGCTGCAAAAATCTTTAACAGGCTCTCCTAGTTCAGTAAAATGCTCTTAATCCAAGTAAACGTAATCCTATAATTACACAATAGAGTTTTGCACCAAAGTACTTGATATTTACTCCTCCAAATTTCACCATATCAGCATGGTTAATGTTTACTGACAAATTAATGTCCAGCATTAGCCGAAGGTCTAGTCATATACTCACAGAGCAGCCGTCTCTGTGATTTGACACAATACTAAGAAACACCTCCTTACACATTCCCACCCAAATACCTCATCCCAAATTTCTCTTCCTATGGCCAAGAGATTTTTAATATTAGAACATTAAGGAAGGGAAACTAATTTAGACACTGTTCTGGTCAGCATCTTTCCTACGGTCAGTTAGTTGAGCAAGTCAGAGGCTAATTACCAAGCCAAATTCTTAGGAAGGCTTAATGTTCATCACGAAACCTAATGTTAGAGATTCTGTCCTTTATCTTCCTTTCCTCCCTATCAGTGATACAAAACAAGGAAAAACACTGCTTTCAGAAGCAAACAGGTGTGCACGTGAAGACGTACCTGCATCAAATACATCAAGCAGATTAACCAAAGTTTCAAAAGCTGCGAGACGTACGCTGCTGCTCTCATCCCTAGAGAGCTCTATCAGTTCAGGAAGCACCACGCTCTTTGTAAGTTCTGTCCTGCACAATAAGCAACGGAAGGAAATAGCTCAATTCAATAAATTATAGCAAGAACTTATGAAGAACAAGTCATGGGGCCAGATGCTGCAGAAAACAGGAAAAATCACAAGGATGTGGTTCTTGTTCTACAGAAGCTTGCAATCTGGTTGGAAAGAGTGATATAAACACAAGAAACATTCATAGTAATTGTATAATTACTTAAATCAATTCTAGTTCTACCAGGATAATATTATTACCTACGGAGATCCTAATGACTAGAAGTTTATACTAGACTTTGTAAATTTTAAAGTAGTTTTCCATTTTAAGCAACAAGCCAACAATCTGGACTAGTCAGAAAAATTTAACAGTAGTGATTATAGAAACCTTAACAAAATCTTTTTCTCCAGATTTCGAAGGATAAATTGTTTTTTCTTTCACCTAAAACATAACGTTACAGGAACTAATTTCTATATAGAAGAATGATATATGATACTAAATATTCCCTCTAAAAGAATGAAACACAATAAACACGCTTTCAGGACATACACAACATTTATAATATAATCACAAATGGTTCTTATTCAAGACTTTATGTTTCTGCTTATTCACCACGAGATGTTATTACAATGAAACACACTGATAAAGTGGAGGCATAGAATGTGGCCAGCTTTCTTAGACACATCACAGAAGATGGTATGAATTATAATCTGATAGCATACAAGAAAGTCAACCAGAGCTGCAGAAAACCTTAAAAAATTCAGGGCAGAACACAAAGACTCCAAGATAGCACGGTCAGGCAGAAGGTGTTGCTATGATAGAAATGTCTACAATCTGTCCAGCAGCCACATGTGGCTACTGAGCAGTTAAAATAAGGTCAGTATAACTGAGGAACTGAAATTTTAATTGCATTTTTACTTTATTTAAATAGCCAAACATGGCTAGTGGCTACCATATTGCGGCACAGCTCGAAGGACTTGAGTGATCAGAAAGCCAAAAACTGTCTTTAAGAAATTAATCTATGAAAGAGGGGAAGGGGGTCAGAAGTTGCAAACCTCCAGTTATTAAATACATAAGTCATGGGAATGGAATGTGCAGCATAGTGACTGTAGTTAGCAATATTCTACTGCATATCTGAACGTTGCTAAAAGAATAAATCTTAAAAGTCTTCATCATAAGAAAAAAATATTCTGTAACTATGTAAGGTGACAAGTGGTAACTAGACTTACTATGCTAATTATTTATAATGTATACAAATATCAAATCATTATGTTGTACACATGAAACTAACATAATGTCATATGTCAATTATACCTCAATAAAATTTTTTTTCTAAATAGTACTTACTCTTCGTATATAAAATACTCATGTGAGATTTTGAGTAAATTGCCAAGGAAATAACAATACCCATTTCTTTAGCATAAAATTAAGAGAAAGAAAAAAAAGGAAATGAATCTAGATCACAGGTGTAGAGGTTAGCAATACCAGTAGTTCACAAACATTCATCAAACATAGGAAGTAGGGTAGGTAAAGGAGTAAAACAGGAGAGAATATGTTATGACCCAAAGGTCATAAAAATTTATTTCATACAAATCTTCCTCAGAACTATTTGTTTACCATTGAAAACCTTGAATTTATTAAGAATGAAAAATAAGAGTTTAAGATAAAGATTTCATCACTATTTACAGTCAAAACTTATCTCCATTCAATCTTTCAACAGACTTTCCTTTTCTTCCCCAAAGTAGTACACTGATGCAATCCCAGCTTAATTATCTGGATGTTAAAGATAATCAGAAGCAAGAGGTCTTTAACATTGTTCAATGATTTCTTAATGTTGAAAAGGCAAAGAGAATAAATCAAATCTGTATTTCATTAGTGGTTCCTAGGGCCATTTCAATTTCAACCTACCAACACAAATGGGGACTTCTCATCTCCAACTAGGTTAAAGCCATGAAAAACTACTGCACTGTATATTAAAACAGCACTTTTATACGTTTATTATCAAAATTTTTTAAATATAGGAAGTATAAAAATAAGATAAAATAACCTGTAACGCTCTACTTAGAGAAACTTTTGAAAGTTTCTGATAATGTATGGTCTTTCAGACTTCTTTCCTGTTTATATTATATAACATCATCTTTGGGCTTCAGCTTCCCCACCATCTGTATAAATGGAACGATACTACCCACCCAAGAGGTATTTTTGAGGATATTAAGTTCATACACGTGAAGTGCTTAGAACATACAGTAAATATTATCAAAGTGTACACTTTGATTATTCATCAATTTTATTATAAACTAGTTCCTTAGACTCATCTCTCAAAATCCAATAATATAGGTAAAAGATAAGCAAAAATTTTCCCTATATCGTAGAACTCAAATGGACTCTAAGTTTATGCTTTCCCAGTAGGACATGAAGATGTTCCCTGTGCCTTTGCTAATATGGAAGATTATCATTAACTTTTCCAATTTCATTGGCAAAGTAGCATTTCACTATTGTTTTTGTAAATATCACATACTATTCAATAACTGTCTGCCTACTTGACTACATCTGTTATCAAATTCCAAGCACCTGGAGACAGGACTGTATCTTTTTCATTATTACATCCCCCATATGTAATCCAGTGCTTACGGTAGATGCTCAATATATATTCATTAAATAAATACATCTCTCTTCAACCAATGAGTTTGAACAAAGAGGTTGAATCTACTTATTAGACACTTGTATTTCTTCTTTAGGATGTATATATATGTTTTCTTTGCCCGTCCGTCACATTATAAAAGTTAAGTGGGAATAAGGCATCATGGCAGACCCCCACTAAGATGCAAATACTCTCTATCAGTTCTTCTAAACAAACTGGATTATAGCTGAGTGACTTTTTCAAGAAGTAGATGTGGGTTTTTCACCGCCTGTGCTAGTGTATCTATGGGAATATCTTTCTTGATTTTAAATGTAAACTCCACCCCAGCTAGGGCAGAATTCTAGGTCACTATCCTTTCTACTAAAAACCCTACATAACAAAAATCTTGGGACAGCCTGATCCTATGATTTGTGTAGAAGTCCGTTTTTTTCAGCCAAGATACTAGCAATTACAACCTAGCGCTCCCGTGACGTCAGAGGAGAGGTGCCCAAAATATAGGGTGAAGGATAACAAGATGAATGAAACAAGCAAGCTTGCCCCGACAGCCAACCCGGAATTTGGGGTCTGGCTGCACGATACAAATTGACCCAGGTGCTGGCCATGATTCAGCGTCGTCTGATGGCTGGTCTGCTTCAGTGAAATACTAATGAAGATAATCCTGAGTTCCACGGTGGGCCAGGACAGCAACAGCAATTCAAGGAAACTTCTCATTTGTTTGTGCCCTTTCCACTGGCCTGTTTTAAGAAGCCTAGGCTTAAAGAAATACTGGGGACCAATCATCTCCATCTCTTCGTTGAGAAGATAGAAGGTGCTTCTAGTGTTCTTGCTTAGCCCTCCCCCTACGTGGCTCCCCTTCATCATTGACCTCCCATTCTGACAAAAGAGAAAAATCATGGGCAGAGGACAAAACCAATCATCAGTCCCATTATATCTGAATACTAAAATCCACCTCTGACAAAGGCAATCCTGGATCTGCTTTTTGTCACTATAGTTTGTATTTTATATTACGGTGTATACTCTTTTGCATCAGGGTTATTTCCCTTAACATACTGATTGTGAGATGTATCCATGATGTCATATTGCATGTATCAGCACTACGTTCCTTTTTCTTGCTAAACAGTATTTCACTGTATGGACATACCACATTTATTTTTCCCTTCACCTATAGGTAGACATTTGGAATGTTCCAGTTTGGGTTATTACAAATAAAGCTGCTATAAACATGTATATATAATATAATTCTTATTGTGGACATAAATTCTTATTTGATTATATTCAGGAATGTGATAAATTTCAAATTAGTCTTTATGTAGGGTGTGAGGTGAGAATCAATGTTCACTGTTTTCTCTCATGAATATTATTATCCCAATACTGTATTTTGAAAAGATTTTCTTCCTTGAACTGCTTTGGCACTCTGCTAAAGTCAACTGGCCATGTATACGTGGGTCCATTTCTGGCCTCTCTTCTGTCCCACTGATCTATTTTTTTGTATGTATCCTGAAATACCCTTAAATCCATTTGTTAGTGCTAATAATTGTTGTATAAATTACTGAGGATTTTCTATGTAAATGGTGATGTCATCTACGAGTAGAAATCATTTCACTTCTCCCTTTCAGATCCTCAGACCTTTTAGGGTTTTGTTTTCTTGCCTTATTGCAATAGCTGGAACCTCCGGAACAGTGTGAGACAGAAGTGATGAAAACTACCCCGGACTAGTTCTTACCTTAAGGGAAAAGCATTCAATACCTGCCATTAACTATGATGTTAACTGTAGGTTTTTCATATCTGCTCTGTATCAGATTAGGGAAGCGCATTTTACCCCAGCTTCCTGAAAGTTTTTATCATGAGTGGATACTAAATTTTGTCAGATGTTCATACGCAGCATTTCTAAGTTATCTCATTTGCCATATCATCAGAATTAGAAGTTTGAGCAACGTCTTCAAAAGTGTGTTCCTCCTTTCCAGTCTGAGGGCTGTGTATGTTCTTCCCCTCTAACACTGAAGGATATTTTTGTGGGTCCCATATTTGTTTCTTATTTTTCTCTTTAGTCATCCCTGTATTCCATACAGTTGTTCTCCTACAAACAAATGTGCATTACCTCTTCATTATACTATTTGTTATTCATCTGATTATTCTAAGAACTGTCCTCTTTGACCCTAAGCTGGTGCACAATCCACAGTTAGCTTTCTAGTGTTCTGTAGTCTTTATTTCATATGGATATGCTAGCTTGACAAGAATCTCTTAATTTTGCCTCCTGATTACCTTATTAGTGGATACAATTTCTGGTGCTCATTTCTGATTAAACTAAAGTGGTCAGGGTGCCTGGGTGGCTCAGTGGGTTAAAGCCTCTGACTTCAGCTTAGGTCATGATCCCAGAGTCCTGGGATCGAGCCCCGTATCTGGCTCTCTGCTCAGCAGGGAGCCTGCTTCCCCTTCTCTCTCTGCCTGCCTCTCTGCTTATTTGTGCTCTCTCTCTCTCTCTCTCTCTCTCTGTCAAATAAATAAATAAATAAAATCTTAAAAATAAAATAAAGTGGTCAGTAATTGTTCTCTTGCCAGAAGCAGCAAATAGGAGATTACAAACCCACATCTGCACCGTGCTTGGGCCTCTTCCCAGCACTTCTCATCCCCAAATGCCTTAGAACACAACTCCCAGTGCAGCGGTGGGCAGCCTCTCTCTTCAATCAGTAGCAATCTCTGAAATGTCTGTTCCCACCTCCTTTCACCCATCTCAGAGATTCTTCTAGCCTTGAGTGTAGGAATTTCCTGTTGGTGGTTATCAGATCCTATCAATAGTCCTGATTTCCAATGCCAAAAGAAAAGACAGTGTACCTTTCTTTAGTTTCATGTACTTATCAAAGCGAAAATAAAGAATATGAATCAGATATTAGCAGGGTTCAGCCATCACACCATGGAAGTCCTATGATTATGTTCTAATAGTATGTGAGAATTCAAATTGAAATGAATATGCATTTAATCAGGCAAATTAGTTTATTACATGAATTCTAAGTTAACAAGCTAGGTAGAGTCTAATTTTACTTTTGTAAATTAATCCTTAAGCAATAATCCAGTATTAATTTTCAGAAGACTAATTGGAACTTACTTGACCCGGATGGGTTTTTTTGTTTCTTTTTTGGGGGGGGGGGTGTTTTTAAAGATCTTATTTATTTTAGAAGGAGAGTGAGCAAGCTGGAGGAGGGGTGGAGGGAGAGAAAGAACTCCAAGCAGTCTCTCCACTGAGCATGGAGCCCAAGGCAGGGCTCAATCTCAGCACTCTGAGATCATGACCAGAGGCAAAATCAAGAGTCGGACACTTATCTAAGTCACCCAGGCACCCAACTGACCAGGGTGTTTTTAACAGTGGCAAAATGTCAGATGACAAAAAATGAAATACAACAAGACAGTGGTATATTCTCCTGATAGGTTCTGATCCTGGTTAAGGAACACAGAACTGGGCAAGACTGAATTATTCATGGTCCCCAATGATCCAGAGTCAGCCTAGCTTTGAAAGATCTATCAGAAAGAAGTTGGTTCTGAAATCAAAATTAGAGAAATGATTCCTCTGTTGAAATGTTAAGCTTCCCACACAACACTTAAATCCAACTCAGCAAGGTGGAGAGGACAGAGGACCTGAATCTGTGTGACATTCTGAGGGCATCCTGAAGCCTTAACTACTGGTCCCCAATTGTTTTTTTTATTAACAGTTGTGCAAATGGCAATAACCTGATTGTCCCTGCTTGTGAAACAAAGAACCAGATGAAAACAGTGCAACTTCTATTAAAAATGAGTGGTCCAATGTTTTTTGTATCAATTTAGGATCTTCAAAAAAAAAAAAAAACTATTTCCCAAGATGATTCTTAGATAAAACTTCCTTTAATATATATTGACATGAAATCATTTTTTATGGAGAAGAGACTACCTGGCCTATTGGTCTCTTTCCTAAGCTTCACACTTCCAAAACGCAAAAAGAGCAACAAAGCAGACAGTGCAAGTGCAGAGTGTACAGGAAACAAAGACTTCAACTGAGTAATCCCATCTGAGATGACCCAATAATACGCTGCTAGCCCAAAGAAATGCTATTGCAATAGACCAAGCATGGTTTGTATCAGGACATTTTCCCTTCCTAAATCTGGGAAGCTAACAAGCAACTGAAGGTAAGAGAGAAATTAGCATGAAATAAATGCTAAGCATCTTCACTTTAATCTCTCTTAATCCAGACACATCAGGAGGTACTTGTTACAATCATTTTTAAAGATCATATAAAGTTTAGCCTTTCAACAACATGTTTTCATGGAATACAGGAATAGGATATGAATATTTGACAAATCAGAAGAATATGAAATAAGTTATTAAAAGTGTACTTACCCAATGCCCTGAGCTATGTTTTCTAATTGCCGACACATACAAGACCGAACTTCATATTCTACATCTTGACACAGTGATTTTACCAGAGGAAGTATTTCTCTTTTAATGCTTAGAAGGGAAGGAGAGGAACATGCAAGTGGGTGTTTTAGAATAATTAAAATTTTCAAACAATTATTGTCAAAATCTTAGCTTAACTTAATAAAAACAAATATGCTTTAATAGAAAGCTTTATATTTTACATATCATATTACATTTGGATGTTATCTTTTGTGATTTGTAAATTATATATATGCCTGGCTCTTTCTAAAGTAATGGTTAATTTTGGATTGACAGTTAAACATCTTAGCTAAAATGAAAGGCTACAAGGAAATGGAATGGTCTAACAACCATCGACCAAAATATTCTTCAATTTTATATTTTCCTCTTGCATCATAATTACACAACATTTCATTCTTTCCACTTGGGATTTATCATCTGGGCAGAGAGTAACATATAAACTATTAAGATTCTCCATAAAACCTCAAATTTTTCAAATTCTAAATAATGAATTCGTAACAATAATGGAAGAAACCAGAAAGTCTATCTTTAGGTCAGGTTTGACAATTTTTGAAGTCTACAGAATAATACCATTTTATGTTCAAAATTACATTAAGTGTGTGAAAGAGAAGATTAAGATGAGGAATAGAAAAAAAGTTAACCATATTGATTTTGAAATGCCATGAGAGCAGAAGAAATGCATCTGAATAAGTACACTTTTAAGAATTCTATAAGTTAGAACTAAGCTTATATGAGTATGAAATGATTTGTCTAATATAATTATTAATCATATGACCATCATACATTTTAAATCAATTTAATTGAATAAAGTAAACAAAAATTATATACAAATACTCACGTATGGGCATCAAATTTGTTGGTCAATTTTCCTAAAATTTTACAACTAACTAAACGAGACTGGACTGTTTGGGAAAGTTGTGCCTTGGAAACAAGTGGGTTCAAAATCTAAAGAGAAAAAATTCAGAGAACAAATTCACAAAGTTTTATATATTCTTGCCACTTATGTCAGCTATTTTTCTCAAGAAATATTTTAGGGTCTTAAGTGTTTTTAAGGAACCTGAATTATAATGTGAGGTGCTCACAACCTGAATCATCTTGTTTGCCTTCCGGCTTACTAAGGTAAAGTTGATGAAAAATTATATAATTAAAAACCAATCAGGCACATAAAAACTGAATTAAAGCTTAAGGTGAATTCTGCAGTGCTCCGTATGCATATAAAGTATCATTGTGAAATGTACATTTTCAAAAGAAAAAAAGAAAATTACCACATATCTGAAATTTATTTTTATTCCATATAAAATTTTTATATTTATCTTAAAGGGATGCAAAACAATATAGCTTCAAATACATCCTATTAAGTAATTCTGTCATTTGAATGCAATTCTGAAATTGTATTATGTACATGCTGGACACCCAACAACACAACACGATGAAAGACTGTAAAGAACTATGAAGGTCAAAACCATAATTCTGGGGTGCCTGGGGGTTCAGTGGGTAAAAGCCTCTGCCTTCGGCTCAGGTCATGATCTCAGGGTCCTAGGATCGAGCCCCACATCAGGCTTTCTGCTCCGCAGGGAGCCTGCTTCCGCCTCTCTCTCTCTGCCTGCCTGTCTGCCTACTTGTGATCTCTGTCTGTCAAATAAATAAATAAAATCTTTAAAAAAAAAAAACCCAACAAACAAAAAAAAAACCATGATTCTGGCCCCCGCTCTTTAATTTGTCCAAGTAATCCTCTTACCCTCCCCCTTGCTCATGCTCTCACTCTCTCTCAAATGAATAAATAAAAAATCCTTAGAAATAAATAAACAAATAAAATTGGAACACTATTGCTGAGTAAGATCCAGGGAAACAGGCATTTCCACATATTGCTAGTAAGAGTCTTAAGAATATGAATGTCCTCTGACCCCCTAAGTCCACTTTTTTGGAAGGTAGAGTTAAGAAAATTATCTGAAAAACTTAAAAAGTTCTACACAGATGCTTGCTAATACTTTATTTTAATAATAAAATGCTGAAAGTAGGTTTAAATGTTTAACAAGTAAAATATTTTGTATCTACTACCAGTGAGTTTAAAATAACATAGGAAAATAATGCTAAGTGAAAAATAACCAACCACATACAAATTCACCACGATTACTAATATGTCCAACAAAACACATGTATAGGGAAAAAATCTGAAATGATTTTTCAGATTTTGGTTAAGTCCAGAACCATGCTTTTTCTTCCTACTGTTTTCTGTATTACTCATATTTTCCATAATGAACCTGTATTGCTTTCAGAGTGGGAAATAACCTTATTTTTCTTTTTAAATGAGACTTTTTATCAAAAACAAAAACAAAAAATCTTAGAGTGGCTTACTTAATAGTATTTACCAAAAAAATAAATAAATAAAAAAGAAAGAAAGTATTACCTCATGTCTTAGGGTATCTTTGGGCAATACTTCTATCACAGACAGAAGAGTTTCCAGCCATGCATTGCTGACACCTGATTGACACAGAAAAAACACACCCATTAAATGTCTTACAAATTTAGTTTCAACTCAGCCATTAAGTTAAACAATACTTAATGATAAAATGGGATGATAATTTTTATTACTATTTGAAGAAGTTCCTCTATTTTTTTTTTTTTTGCCTCACCAACATCTAGAAAACATCTATATCTTTAAAAATAATATGGGGAGGAATATCTTTCAGCTAAAATGTGTATTTTTCGCTGTACAATAATACTATTGCATAAATACTGTAAAATTCAAAAATTCTAAGAAAAAAGTATAGCTCATAAGATGAATTAATGAGTCTTCAGCTTTCAAGGACACTGAATTTCATGGGCTTTGGAAGGAAAGAGCCATGGCTGGTTTTAGTCACACTAATGACCACCATGGCCTCATTCAGTTATCCTCATCAGGCTAACAAGATTTGAAAACCATCATGGGCTGCATCCAAGGCACGATAAACAGGTACAGAATGAAGCCCGCCGGGCTGCTGACCTGCATCCCTGTGCTCCAGGTGTAGCAGAATGACTTGGAGGAAGGCGTGGGCGTACGTATGAATTGACACCGATTCTTCCTGTAGAATGGTCAGGAACGACACTGCAGCTGTTAACTGCATTTCCACTCCTGCACCATGCAGGACTTCCTGCGTAATCACAAAGAGTTTACGGAGATGAGAGATCAGAAACTCGAAGTTTTAAAATCCAAGGTCAGAGAAACTAAACATAGTCACATTCCACAAAATAACTGTATATGACCTATAAGGGTATGTGCTTCCTCTTATTACTTTAAGAAAACTCTATTAATCTGCTCCTTATTGTTTAACTCATTACACCACAAAAAAGTTTAAATGTCTTAGGCATTTACAAAATAAGATAAGATTCCATTGTCTTTTTAAATGAAAACTATAAATATAGATAAACCTCTGAATAATAGAATAGGGATTTTTGATAGCTCTCAATGTCTAATTTTGCTCTTTGTCTTGTACAGTTTGCCATCATACTTAGAACAATAATGTCAAAGGTCAATCACACGTGTCTTCATTACTTGTATTTCTGCTTCAGAAAATAAACATTATGCATTTACTATAAAAAAGGAATACACTTAAGGTTATACAAATATATTTTCCCCCTTAAAAACACTGATGAGTACATAAATGACCATGCAGTAAACTGTTTTTAAAAGTAATTTTTTAAATATAAGAATGCTTCTAAAAATTAACTGAATTCATAACCACCTCCATTCAACATTTTTTAAAAATTATCATATATTCAAAGTTAAAAACCTATTAGTTTTCAACACATCAAAAAAAAATCTTTCATATAAACCTCATCAAAGATATTACTTCTCTAGAAGAGAAAGTGTATGCGTGTGTGTGTGTGTGTGTGTGTGTGTGTGTGTAAAATGTAAAGTTAGTTAAAAGTTCTACTTTGCTTAATCAGTTATGTCAATTATGGGAATTGCCCTTGAACGCCTATTTTATAACTAACATAATAAAGTTGGTAGAACAATGTAGAACTGGCAGCCATAAAACAAAGTTTCATATCTGTGACCTTAAGAAAATTAATCTCTCGGGGCGCCTGGGTGGCTCAGTGGGTTAAAGCCTCTGCCTTCAGCCAAGGTCATGATCCCAGGGTCCTGGGATCGAGCCCCACATTGGGCTCTCTGCTCTGCAGGGAGCCTGCTTCCCCTCCTCTTTCTCTCTGCCTGCCTCTCTGCCTACTTGTGATCTCTGTCTGTCAAATAAATGAATAAAATCTTAAAAAAAAAAAAAGAAAATTAATCTCTCTATATTACTTCCTAATCTATAAAATGTGAATTATAGTTGAATTGTAGTACCATCTTCTCAGAGATTTAAGTCCTATAAGCCAAGTTTTTATGACTTAGCAACTCGTGTAAACTGGGCATTTAAATAATGACCACTGGCCATCCACCGGTCTCCTCTGCGTCTGGTTATCTAAGAGGAATCTCATCTTGTCCACACCTGAACTGATCTCTTCCCAAAACCCGCTCCTCCTCCAGTCTTCTCCTTGGTCAGCAGTGAATGATAGCCCTGCCCTTTTGGCCAAAACTCTGAGGTCAGTCCTCGGCTCCTCTCAGTCCCTCACGCGCCACAGATGGCTGACCAACCCTGGTCCGGAATCTGCCCACTTGCTACCTCCACGGCCACCACCCTGATCCAAGCCACCGTCACCTCCAGCCTGAATTATCCCAGTAACCTGTTAACTAGTCCCTGCTGCCATCATTGCCCCTTTGCAGTCTAGTCTCTACACATTAGCCAGAGAGATTCTTATAAAAAATAATTTGGATCATAGCACTTTTCAGCTCAACACTCTCCAGGGGCTTTCTGGCACTCTCAGAAAAGTCAGTCCTTGCAATGACTTCCCAGATCTGTTCCCACTTTCCACTTTTCCCAGATTTCCACATGATGGGCTCCCTGATCTCTCCCAAGCCTCTATTCAAGTATTGCCTTTCCAAGAAGCTCCTCCCCAGTGACCCGAATTTATACTGAAAGCCCCTCCCCCACTCACGCTCTCACCACCTCCGTTATACCATGGATGCATTATCTCTACTCTCCCAACATGCTCACGTGCTTATGGCCAGTCTTGCACCCCGAAACATCAGCTTCAGGACGGCAAGAGTTTCTGGCTGCTGTGCTCATTAGCTGCGCCCACCTCCTGGCACGCAGCAGCCATTCAGGAAGAAACTGCCAGATGACTGAGTAGCTCTTACCCTTTGACCTAAACTTCCTGCTCTTGACGTTCTCTCCCTTCACAAACATTTTCCACATCTCCTAATAGGTGGCTTCAAGAGATTTTGAGGCGAGTCCTAAAGATTAGGGATTGGGAGAATGAGACAAAGGCAAAGCAAAAAAGGATCACACACAAATGCATTCTCCATCCTCTCTCTATCACGTCAATAAGGAGACATTCCTGCCACCTTCTCCCCCAGCACGTCTGCAGCTAGGATGCACAACAAGAACTCAGACGTCTTGATTCCTATGGTGGGCGCATGGCCAGTGATTGTTCCGGGACATAACATGTCATTTCAAAGCAGAAGAACCAGACTCGGGATGGTCCATCTTCTGTGAGCTAGTGACTGGCAACTCTGAAGACTTAACCCTTGTCTGCCTGATGCCAAAGTTAAGCTCTGAAATTCTTCCTCATGGATTCTGCACTTGCGTTCGTCACTTACTAAGGCCTGGCTAAAATCAATCCCAAGCCTTCACGCGATCGTGCAGGAGATCTGGCAGCGGCTTTCCCGTGGCAAATGTTGAAGCGGAATGGTTAATTCCCAGGAAACCTACTGCACATTCAGACTTTGGTATCACACACACACAAACGTCACTTTACAAGGTTTTTCAACCAATAGCCAATTACATATCTTAAGAGTTCTTGGCTGAAAGAAAAAGAAAAGGAGCGATGGGCATGAAGCAAAAGCAGCGTAAAGCAGCAACTGGTCTCTGAAGTCAGCCCTCCCATGTCTCCCGGTTTTACTGTTTCTAAACCAAACATCTGTTCCACAGTAATCATTCTGGACTTGAAAAACACTCTTAATTTAAAAGATTTGATGTGGCCAGTATACATCACTTACAGGTTTCAGAACACACAGCTTTTATTTAGAAACACAAAGTATCGTGCAGGGAAATATTAAACTATATCATGAGGGCCAGAGTGTACATTCCGGGTCACAGGAGTCTGCAGTTTTAAGTTCCAAGAGATGTAATTCTGCCCCTCTGAAAGCCATTAGTCTTGGGTTTTGTACATAGGCAAACTTTATGCAAAAGAACATGAGAAGCTCTCCAACTTCATATCTTCTTACTGCATTATTTAGTCTTGACTCCCGCAGGAACATTTGCCCCAACTAGTCTGCATTTAATTTTCGAAAAATCCTCAAGTCTTATCAGGATTTGGGTTTTTCTCTTGTTGTGCTGACTTCAACATCAGGGACTGTCCACTGTTAAGAAACCAGCACAAACTAAGAGATTTTATCACTGCTAAAAATCAGTTCATTTCTAAACATGTTTTTCTGAAATATAATACAATAAGAGTTTGACACTTACCAGTAAGTGTTCTCCTCCACAGAGTCACACCCTCTGGACAAACATAGTGAGATCCATACTCTGGGTAAATAAGTGTGCATCCTCATGGACCTTGGAAGACACTGAAAAGGAAATTCCTCTATTGCTTAAGTGCATGCCTTAGTGCCAGTCAGGCTCCTCTTACAGAATACCGTCTGGCTGGCATTCCAACCTGAAGTCCTCAAAAATGAAATGAGACATTTGGTAAATGAGTACATGGTACATCTCCAAATTTTAAAAACTATTCCCACTCGAGGAAGGAGAATGTCCTAGACACTTCGCTGTTTAAATTCATTCTGTAGTTAGCATGACTAGTACGAGAGAGCGTTTTGTAAAACCGCAGAATACAGTCCTTGCCTAGAGGGCAACTGCTCTGTCTCCAGCAAACCCACACTGTATACATCAGGAAGATATTCCTCCTTACAAGGCACAACATCGAGAAACATTAAATAAATCACTGGCGTATTCCAAAAGAACAAATATTTTGGATTCACACATTTGGAGACTAAACTTACTGATTTAAACTGGTAAATATATGTACCACAAATGGTGCTGGCTAAAGGTAAAGGAGGCCTAACATTATAAAGTATCTTTGTATATTTTTTAGAGAGAATATCATTGATTGTTTTGAAATTAAATAATAGGAATCTAAATACAAAACATTGAAGACTTGGGACATGTAAAATACCTAGGTTTTGAGGGTCACAGTTGTGAGAACTTTTATGACTAACAATAATGGTAAACAACTCTTTTCACTAGCAAATGATAATATTTATGACTTTAAAACCGAGTTAAATATGAATAATTGGAACATGCCAACTTGGGTACCTTTAACAATTCACTCTACCTTTTTTTTTCCCCCTATCACTGGCTGCCATGCTGTACTCTAAAATAAAGTGGGGGGAGAACTAGTTGAGAGCCCCAAAGTCAGACTCTGAGAGGGAAAATGGGAAAATAAAGTGGAGACAGGAACAGGACTAAGAGGGATATGTTTTTCCCTTCTTTAAATCTGTGTTTCAGTGATTAGCAAGGTTCATGAGGAGGTACACGTAACAATATCCCAAAGATCTCTTTCCGTAAAGGAAATACCAATGCCAATAGTAATTCTCATATCGTTACTGATATGTGACCACATATCCTTCCCCGCAAAATCATGACAACACCAAACAAAGAAAAACATTTCATGACAGTGGTTTTAAAATTGAAGTTCTAATTGGGCTACTCTGCCCAAAAAAGTCATTTTTACATATAATAATTAGAATCATGTAATCTTACAAGTTAGGCCTAGAATGTAAATAAAGAGCTATATCGGGGGCCCCAGGTGGCTCAGTCAGTTAAGCATCAGCTTTCAGCTCGGGTCATGATCCCAGGGCCCTGGGACTAAGCCCCACGTTGGCTCCCTGCTCAGCAAGGAGTCTATGTCTCCCACCCTCTGCCCTTCCCCACCACTTGTGTGTTCTCTCTCTCTCTCTCTCTCTCTCTCTCAAATAAATATGATCTTAAAAAAAAAAAAACTATATAACACTGCAAAGAAAAGATGTGCTTATCAAAGAAATATCTATTTG